GCAGAACTAGCGAGGTGCAAGCAGGGACAAAAGCAAGCTCGTGTGAGCTGTTGCACATCACCCCCTACTTCGAACCTACTCTGCCAAAACAAGCCCAGAGTGTCAATGCATCTTAAGGACAATAGCACCCGCTGGCAATTCTGGTTACTATACACATGGTCCCGCATGACAACACCGCAAACATGGCACATGATCACACAAGTGCTCCGGCACTGAAACGCACACGCAATAAGTTTGATCAACACTAACAGTACTTGTGCACGCTCCTGTGGCCCTGTGCTTACGCCATGGTACTCCATGCACGCCTGTACTCCCTCCGCGTACCCACGGTACTCTGGCACGCCTGCTCACGTTTGTGGTACTCTCCATGCTGATGTGCCTGATCTCAGCGTTGCTGCGCGAGCAGAGGATCTCCACCAGGACACCCTCCTTGGTGCCCGGCCGGTCCATGGCGCGGTGCAGCTCCTCGGCCAGCAGCGTCGTCAGCGGGCGCACCATGTACCTGTCGTCAGGGCACTCGGCTGTCAGCTCCGAGCGCCCGGCGTACATCAAGTCACGTAACAATGGATCATTACGACCTGGAACACAGGCCAGGTCACTGGAGCACCATGCACATGAGCACACGGCTGGTCACTGGGTCATCAATCTGTACAGAATACAGGTCAGCTGAGCGCGCCGCACACCTGGGAGCCCTGTCCGCAGCCTTGTGAGGTCGTAACAGATGGGAAGCACCTGACACAGGACATCATGCACATGCCATCAGCCGTCATCCGCGAAGCCAAAAAACGATCACAGTCGCACTTACAGCTCATGCACGAACTGACCTACTTTCAGCACATTTCTACATCGCACACCAGCTTCCCCTGAAGCCGTCGATCGATAAGCCAGAACACACTACACGGATTTTACCGACGCATTGCACGACTTGGGGAGCGGGAACGTACTTCGAGTTTACGTACTGAACACACCCCGAACACCTGGGGGGATATCCACGGCCCACACCCCTGCTGCACCTCTCCGCATCTACCCGGCGCCGACCGCTCCCCCACTGGCACACCCGTCCGGCGTTGACCCCTTCCTTACCGGCACACCCACCCGGCGCCCACCGCTCCCTCACCCGCACACCCACCCGGCCGACCCCTCCCTACCACACACCCGCCCGGCGCCGACCCCTTCCTTACCGGTACACCCACCCGGCGCCGACCCCCTTCCTCGCACACCCACCCGGCGCCGACCCTTCCTTACCGGTACACCCACCCGGCGCCGACCCCTTCCTTACGGCACACCCACCCGGCGCCAACCGCTCCCCACCGACACACCCGCCGGTGCCGACCGCTCCCTCACCGACACACCCCCCGGTGCCGACCCCTCCCTCACCGACACCACCCCCACCCGGTGCCGACCGCTCCCTCACCGCTACAACCATCCGGCACACCCCCGGCGCTGACCCCTCCCACCGGCACACCCGCTCAAAGTCACCATGAAGCTCCGACTTGAAGGCCTCCTCCAGGTCCTTCTCGTAGGCGACCTTGTACTTGGCGGCGATCTCGGCCCGCTGCAGGCTGCTCCGGTGGGTCAGTACGTCGATGATCCGGTCCTCGTCCGTCCCTGCGGCGGAGGAGGGCACGCTGAGCGAGGCACGCTGAGTCGATGGCTGCTCGTGAATCACGCATGGGTGTTGGATTCCCCAAACGGATAGCCAGGGACCCCGTGGTGATGTTTCGTCCTCCAGACAAATCATGCAACAAAGCTTGAGGCATTGCAAAGTATAGGGATGATCAACACAATGCTGACAACTTTGGTACATTCAAGCCAAATGATCATCAGGCTCGGGAAGCCAACACGTTTAATGAATCTACAGTGACCAACTGCAACTAGATGCTGACACAGTGATGCATTTCCTTCGATACGGAAAACACTGCCACAACGTGACATCGTAGCACTGTAACTTAGATAGCAAACGGAATAGGGTCGTAAAATAGTGGTGAAATGGCATCCACAAAACCGCATTCCCACAGCATTGTGTACAGTTGCACATTTCTCCAGTCGAACGTAACCAGGTTTGCAAACGTTTCAACTTCATGCACGCCGGTACTAGCTTTCGGTTCACACTTTCTGGCAGTTTCGAGACGATTTCTGCAGTTCTCGAGACATTTTCTCACACAGCACGTCAGCGTTCCTCACAAATTGCACGAGACAGAGACGTGACGTCATGGCGGTGTAATTACATCAAGTGACAGTGAGATGACGTCACAAGATAGTGGTGACGTCACGTGAACATGAATTCATGTGACAGTAGCGTTACGTCACGTGGCGGTGGCGTAACGCCCCAGACAGAAGCGGGGCATCGCGCAATAAGGACGTGACACTGCATGCCAATAGTATGTCATCATGTGACACTGCCATGACACCCACCACACGGTGACATGCCCACGTGACAGTGGTGTGACGTCACGGCACAGCTGGTGGCTTACCGAGGCCCTTCATGGCATCGCGCAGGTTCAGCGCGTCGGCTGTGGCGTCGAACCCGGTAGCAGCCACTAAAGTAGGCTTCAGCGTCTCCTGGAAGATCAGAGGGAGTCAGAGTAAGCGAAGTGGCTCCTGCGAGATCACGGGGAGTTGGCGTGGGGTGTAGTGGTTCCTTGTGGGGGGTCAGAGGAGGAAAGGATTATCTACATGTTTGTTGATTGATATCATCTGTATCTAATCCTTGCATTCAGGGATATTCCTGCTGCCCAAAGTCAGACATTGTAGTTTATTATTGGCCATTTTGTGTGCTTTACATCATTCATGTCGTCTTCTCAAGCTGAATTTGGTTATCTATGCCATAGATTAAAATCTTCCAAAACTTTTAGCATTTTTTTGGCAAAGGTTGTGATGTTTTCAAAAATGGTTTAAATGAACACTTCAGCTGGAGAAGATGAATCAAGGACTTCTTTAAAAAATGCAAAATGGCCAAAAATGAACATAAGGGGTTTCACCTTTTGATGGCAGACTTCTGGTAACCTTTGATCTGAATCGAGGCCGCCACATGTTGAAAAGGATAGGTTTTTAACTGAGGAGCATCATATGGTAAAGGTTTGGTAGTGTTTGGTCTCCTGGCTCAGCACATATGACACAAAATTATCTCAGAGGTTTTGGTTATTTTTGGTGACCATGGGCCTGACCAAGTGCCACCATGTTCTAGAAAGAGTAGGTTGTTGACCAGGGCTGCATTTTAGGATACTGTTTTGCGTGGGCCGGTCTCACATGCTTGGAACACCTTTGGTCAGTCATTTAGTCCCTAGCTCTGCCCCAGTTGGCAGAATTGGGACATATGGAGTCTGGGTGATCGTGTTTGGTCGCCTTAGACATTAAATCCCGGCATGAAACTTCTACCAGAGACCATGAGGATCAGGAAATGGTGCCAACTTGTCTGGACATGCGAGAAACTGTCGAAGGTCCCCCTCGGGCGACGCCCTGGAGCCGCCTTTCCGCGTGCCGGCACGGCACCAGACCAGAACCAGGAAACCAGGAAAGCAGGAGATTGCCTGGCGAACTGCTCGGCAAGCCCGCAATGAGGGGAGGCGAAACAACATCACTACTCCCTTACAACCTGCTCTGCACGTAGGGACTCCCACCTCGCGACCAATCCACAGAGAAGACACCAAGACGGCCCAAGCATCGTAAGACCCTGTGACAAAACGAGATCAGCAGCAATCACCCCAGCGCGCCGCCCTGTCGAACTGATGGGCCAGCACGCAATGAGGGCCACGTTCAGCAGACACCGACACTCAGCCCCCCTACCATGTTAGAAGCGGCTGTGGCTGGAGCGCACGTCCCGGTAGCTTTGTCACTCGTACGAGCCGCCGGATGCCTTGGAGCCGCGCCCACCTCCGTTGATCTCCACCACCGAGGCACGTCACGGTCGAACTCCAGCGCGAGCCGACGGAGTGCCGGCAAGTCGGAGCTACATCTGCACTGAATGCTGCCGCCGGCGCGGCACGGGCGTAAACCAGGAGGGCCGGGAGGGGTTGGTCTCGAGGTGAACAGTGCGTCTAGAAGCATTTTGGGGCGAGTCTCAGTTTTGACATAACCGATATCGCTGGTGTTTTAAATATTACATAATTCAGGGCTTCTGGCCATCATTTAGCAACTGGCCGAGTTTACTTGTACGCTGACGGGTACCGTTTCCCCCTGAATGGAGCAAAACTTGATGCCTTATTCATAATTTTCAGGTGGATGTCGAGCCTTGAGAGATGCAGCTGAATCGGGATTACCGTGTTTCTTAATTCTGGGCACCTAACATCCAATTAAATTCTCCTTTGCAAAGAATCGAAAGGAGAGAGATAAGGACTAGCAGCCTTCAGCCTGATTGGTTTTGCTTTTGCCCAATGAAAGCATTGTGAGTCAAGATCGAGCAATAGCGGCCGCGTTCTTGTTCGGGGGAAAAATTAGTAGCATTGAGTCATGTCATGTCGCTGTCGATGTCGCATGTCGAGAACATGTCATTTTCGCTTTATCTGTTCAAGGATGTGTTTACAAATATGGCGCTCCTGTTTCAGCTACTAACGCACTTATTTTCGAAATATCTATGGTTACCACGTAGTTTTATATCAGTGGCGTAAGGGTAGGTCACAAATGTTTATATCAGTTTGCTCTGCAGATGCATTTAAATGTAATGGATGCATAACTTATGAAACTGGATCACTCTGAAATAAAACCCATGAAGTTGCGGGGCCTATACCAATGTGGCCCAGTGCAGCGGTGCCAGGGTCCAGCGATTCGTATACAGGGTCTGACTCAAGCTGAGCTGCCCACCATTGCCACAGCGAATAGGAAGGGCCAAAATTTTCATAGTTTTTTATTGTATTTTTTTCTTACCTGCATCTGACTGTGCTGGTGGCAAGCACCACCCCAATTGTGCCCACGCGTTAAATACATAAGCACAACAGAACATGAGCAGGAAGGGTGCTTTCAGGATGCATTTACTTGAGCGGATGCTTCCAACGGGCCTGGAAGACATAGATACAGCACCCACTTTGCCCTGTGCCACATATCTGAAGTGTCAACTTTTCTGGTGATCCCATGTATGCTTAATGTCTGTGTCATCCTTAATGTGCTTATGGGTACTTCCGGATATACTCACCAGGAACAGCACGGGAATAGTATTGTAAACAATTTGGAAGTGATCATCTAGTATGATTTTTTGATTAATGCAGAGAAGAATCCCTGGTACTCACTAGTTAAGGTGGTATGACAAATTTAGATAACAGGAATAAGCATAATGTAAAAATTTAGTTATAATCAACCAAATAATTCAGTTTACTATGTTTTCTTTCATTGTAACCACCATTCTCATTCATTTTCTGGAGCTACGGATCCCCATCGGATCGGATCATTCGCTCCGGTTCCCATCGGATCAGGTCGGGCACCTCAGCCCTTGGGGCTGGCTGATGGATTGGCTTATGGATGCCGTCACGATCTGCAGCAAGCCTTTGTAGCATGCCACTGCTGTCATGAAAATTTGAAATTTGACAACTTGTTTCAAAAAGCATGATTCAAAGCACGTGTGTGCCTCTTTACAGGACGGATGCATGATGGGCTCAGTGTTTTACTGTCGCTGCCGAACATTTTCGTCGTCAGCGGCCGTTCTGAAGAGGATTCCAAATGATCTTAAAGGCAGAGGCAAAAGTTCACAGGAATGGCTCATTCGACAAATGAACGACCCATATGTGAAAAAGGCCAAGCTGGAGAACTACAGGTACTGTTTCATCTCCCTATCTGGTGTTTCCCATTTATGTATGCCACGCACAGGTATCCTCCATTTGTCGGGTATGAGTCTTACATGTCCCTTCATCGTGTATTAACTTGTGTGATGTTTGGTGCTGTCTACAAGCTGCTGCTGCTGGCTTTCATTTCATCTCACATTGCCCATGATGTCATCTATAAGCTGCTGCTAATGACTTGCATTTCATCCCACATCGCCCACTAATGTGCATCTCAGCTACAGTGCCTTGGATTGGCTGTAGATGGACGCAGGTGTTCATCATGTGTGTCAGTTAATTGTCCTCCATGTCTTTGCTTTTCTCCATCTTTCCAGCCTTAACATCCAGCCATGTTTTGGTTCAGAGCAGGCTCTGACATGACCACACACTCTGGTCAACCAATAGTCACTCCACTCACACAACATGTACAGCCAAGCAGCGTCTGTCACTGAGGTACACTGGACTCAGGCGCCCGTTATCTTCTTGTGTAGCATGCCCCCGGCTGATTACCTATCAGCCCATCATTGTTACCCGCCCCGTGACCTGCGACCTCCGCCCCTTCCAGTCTTTGTAGCGCGTGTAACCCGTGCCAGCGGCGGTAGTTCTCATCTGCTGACCTCTCGTGACCTGACCTGACCCGGCAGGGCCCGCTCGGCGTACAAGCTGCTGGAGATTGCCGGCCGCGTGGAGCTGATGAGGCCCGGAGGCGTGGTGGTGGAGTGCGGCGCCGCGCCCGGCGCCTGGTCCCAGGTGGCGCTGCGGGCGGTGAACGCCGACGGACGCGGTGAGGCTCATCCGCCGACGGTGACGGCCGCCGCCGCGTCACCGGTCTTCGGCTTTGCGCTTGTGCGAAATGAGTGGACGGTTGGCGGCACAAGTCACGGCAGTTGTCAGTTTGTTCTGTCATTTTTGGGCGAACATCAGGCTGGTGGCTGTTCATCGACTTCCACCTCCATTGACCTGCCTCGGCCTGTCGCATGCTTTTGTAACGGTTGGTAAATGGCCGATGTTGCTGCATGTTTTTTGTGACGGTTGGTAAGGGGCCGGTTTTGCCGGCGATGGCGTTGGAAAGCGGCTTCTGCTCCACCGCCGGTAGTCAGAGGAAACCGACCTGATCGCGTGGCATGACTGAAGTGATTTACTCGGTGATTGCCTTGCCCCAATCCTTCCCCAATCCTGGCTGGCTGTCAAAAATTTTATAGCGTTCCGCGTTCTCCGATCTCTTTCTGAACAGACTTGCTAAAAAGAAGCTTGCTTATATGATACGTCCCCATCTCAAATGGAATGTATTTTGCAGCCCGTCGTTCTGTCGTGCCCTGGTGTCCTCTGAGCTACCTCTCTCCGCGTTTTCAAAGCCTGACCCACGGCGCCGTCCCGTTCTCAGATGCGGATCGGCCGGTGGGCACCGTGGTGGGCGTGGACCTGCTCACCGTGCAGCCGCTCCCTCCAGCCATCCACCTCCAGGGCGACTTCACCGCCACCGAGACGCAGCGCCGCTTGCTGGCGCTCCTCCCCGCCCCGCCGACGCTCGTGCTCAGCGACATGGCGCCGCGCGCCAGCGGCGTGCGCCAGCTCGACCACGACCGCATCCTGGCGCTCGGCTACGCGGTGGCGCAGTTCGCGCTGCGTCAGCTGGCGCCGAACGGCGCGCTGCTGGTGAAGCTGTGGGCCGGCGGTGGCGAGCGGCGGCTCACCGACAGTTTGGCGCCGTTTTTTACGCGGGTGCGGACGCTGAAGCCGGCCGCCAGCCGCACGGACTCGGCCGAGGTGTACGTGGTGGCGGTCGGTTTCGTGGGCGCCACGCGGCGGAAGGGAGAGGGGCGCGGCACAGGGCGCGAGGAGGGGGCGGCAGGCGAGACGGGGGTATGACACCGGGCTGTGGGAGGGGCTGGGGGCGCGGCATGGGAAAACAGGGTGGGGAGCCGGAGAGGGGGGGGGGCAGCGCGACGGGGGCGGACAGGTTTGAAGGGAGGCACGATGTGTGTGTGAGAGATGCGAGCCTCGTTTTAACGGCCTCGGCATCTCACCCGCTTGTGATGAGCTGATGCCGTGACAGTGCCGTCGACCGGCGCCTGTGCGGTCCGCATTACACACCGCTTACGCGATGCCTCGCTCCCGGTCCCGGATGCGTATTGGTCCGCTGATGGCGCGCTGCTGGCGATCCCAGTTCTGATATGAAGTTATGCTGTGCTCAAGCGTGTACTCCAGTGCAAGTGCAATCATGTCATCTTTACATAAAACTGTATTGGCGTATGCATGTTTTCAGGAGACGGTATTTGAGAATGAACAGCTCGGGTCTCACAGCGAGCAGTTATCAACAAGCAAGGCGGGATCGTTATCACGCATCTCCGCGCCGTCAGCGACTGGCCGGATTGTTCCCGTTAGCACACACACACACACACCTCCCCTCCCTCGCCTGGAGGCTGCTGGGCCTCAGCCAGGCTCCGACCTCCGTCCACGACCCGACGGGCAGTGACAGGAGCGAGGCACCCCCCTGGGAGCTCACATAGCCAGCGGTATCATAGAACGGCCTCAGCACCAGCCGGAGGTGCATCTGACAAAAACAGCGGCGTGTCGGCCGTGTTGGGAGCTCTGCTGCAGCGGCGATTGGTACGGATTGTGCGCGCGGGCAGAGGCAACACACCATCGGGACCTTGACGCCACGCCTTAACAGTGTCAAAGCTGGTGGATCTGCCGCCTCAGCGACTGCGACGCTGCTGCAGCGTTACTCACCAGGGCGGAGTGAACGGAATAGACGTCAGTTGGCGGCCGCGGCGACCGACGCGCGGGCCGCAGACCACGCGTGAAACGCTCGCGAGCACGACTGTTGTGCGGCTGAAGGAAACGCCTCTTGGTGAGACGCGCGCTGGTGAGACGGTCTCGCGAGACGTCGCGTCACTGCTCGGACTTCAACGTGGTCCCGTGCGCGTGGGTATTGTGATGACCGAGACCGTGGACCTGAACCTTGACGACGGATTCGCATAATCTTCCAACATCAGACTGGCCCTCAGTCTGCGATACTTCCATAAGATCCAGTCAAAGCTATACCTGAGGCTTCAGTCTAACCTCAGTTCAGAGTCAGTAGCCATTCGCCCTCCGCTGTTCGCTGTGAAACCCGCACTGCCAGATCCTCTGCTCCGCTCCCCACGGCTCCATGCCTTACCCCCAGCGGCCTCGGCGCCGTCGCTGCCGGCGGCCGCGCTCCTCAGACCTCCAGCAGGCAGGAGCGCGGCGCGGCCCGCCGGAACACTTGGAAGGCCATGCTGTAGGCGGGCAGCGTCAGTGACGTTGACGGCTCCAGCAGGGCGACGGGCATCGCCGGCAGCCGGTCCTGCTCCAGCTGCAGCAGCTGGCCGTTACACAGGATACCCCTGCGGCGGAGACGGCGCAGGTCGAGGCAGAGCCATAGCGGTGGTCGCAGATAAATGTAATTAGATTATAAATTTCAAAATATGGTAAATCGGGGGAACTGATGAGGTACGAAATCCAAGCGAGGGTGACAGAATGGTTACGTTGCAAGCACCGACGAAGGATAAATGGTGATTGGAGACAAAGTCTGAGGTTGTAACACAAATACTTTGCACCAGTGGTACCGGAAGCGTAGTAACTGACCATTCACGCTTGACACAACCTATAATGAGGTCATCCACTAACCGCAATGTTCGCAAAAATCGGGCTCAAACCCTGGCCATATATATATATATATATATATATATATATATATATATATATATATATATATATATATAAAGTTCTCGACATTTTCGGTGAGGTGTTTCTGCGCCCAGAAGTGGAGCCGAGACACGTGCCAAACAGCCAGGGGGCGTGTTCGCCAATCGGTCCTTACCTTGAGGTCAAGTTGCCGTTGGGGGGAGTCAGCATGTATTGGATGCCTCCCTCCTGCATGCTGCTGTCCAGGCGTACCTTCTCGGGCGCGTTACCCAGGTTCAAGGTAAAGCAAGACACGGAATCTGCGTCATATGCGGTCAGTTGTCACGGATAATTTCGCTCACCCTTTGAGATAAATACTCAGGACTAGTTCGCTGGCCTAGGCGAGCTAAGGGCATTAACGAACATTGCAAATGGATACCGACACTGAACGTTTCAGCACCTTGGGAATTAGCAGCGTAGGCAGGGGGCACAGGAGGCACATGCCCTCGCCCCCCCCCCCACCCCTCAGATTTTGATGGACTTGAGGGGCCTTTCGGAACGTACTATTAAGAGCCCGAGGAGCCCGAAAGGCCAGTCGAAGGTCTCATTCAGGGGTCCCAGCCCGCATTGCCGAACACTCCAATGCCAGCCAGAGGGCCCTGCGCGCTGATCAGGGGCCCGCTGAGTCGATAAGGGCCTATATTTCGGTCAAACACCACCAATTATGCGCAGTCGGTTCCGTGGCGGCATGGCCCTGTGGCCCCTTTCGCAACCAGGGACAAAGCCGGGGCCACGATTTACATTGTTCAGGGCCCCACAGCGCCTAGCAGGGGTCCTATGTTGTCGAGGAGCCCGAGTCGGCCAGAGGCATTGTTCGAGTAGGCTCTCAGGGCACGGAGGGCCGCCGGGCCCGACGATCAAAGGCCCAAAGGCATGGAGGGCTGATCGGAGTCTTATTCAGGGGCCCGAACTGCGGAGACGGACCATAAAATAACGGTCAGAGGGCCCTTTGCGCCGATCGGAGACCTCCTGAGCCGATATAGCCTATATGCCCGCCAGGCACCACCATACCACATAGTCGGCTCAGTATCGGTATGGGCCTGAGGACCCACTTGCCAAGCTGCAAAGCTGGGCCAGTGTTTTACACTGATCTGGGGCCCTGTACAGCCCCAGCAGCCGAGTGTGTCATAGAGCCACAATGGCACGTCGCAATCTTGGAAAGCGAGGATAGCGATGGCTTGGGTCACAGTTTTCGTAAAACCGAACGGCGTTGGCCACTGCAAGTAACGCCAGGGGGCGGGTGGCGAGTGCGCAACGACGACCATTGTAACATACTGTTGGTGAATGTTTTTGAAGATTAATTCGTACTGCTCAAAAATTACACTGGGCGAATTTTTTTTGACAGCTTTGAAGTTGTCCTCCTGACAGATTAACAGTTACAGGAACACGGAGAATAAAGATTTTACCTTTTCTCTACCAGTTCCACCGCCAGATTCCCGCACCACTTCGCGGTGCTGTAAAGACCAGTACGTCATTGTCATAAATCTAAAACCGCACAGGTGAAATATGCGCCAAGAATATCCCTCAGTGTATGATGTGGTGTCCAAAAGTTTTCAAAAGTACTTCTTTCAAGGGCATCACCATTTTCGTTCACCTGTTGGGCACAGGCTAATGTTAGCCGCGGGACCAACGTTGTGCGGCCCTAGGAGACTGCAACGCCTGGCGTAGCTTTTTGTTTCAAGATATGCGAGCGCGCATGCTCAAAACTACGTTATATAATTCGTACCACTGGTCAGTTCTGACTGAATGATGAATATATGCGGACAAACATAGCCAAACCACGTTAACACAAATTACTTTAAAACAAATTAACAAATTAACGTTAACAAACCACGTTAACACAAATTGTGAGTCAATTTTGGTCTTTAAACTACATTCGTGGAAACCCTACTATCTCTGTACAAGCCGTACAATAATTTTGACAAGTTTCTGAGTTCAGTCGGTTTGAAAAGAGTTCACTAGACCATTGTAAAATGAAGGGATCCGGAGGCAAAAATGGTCTCATGGTGACGTCTGGCCTCATATATTCCAGTTATGGAAGGTAAAAATATACACACGTTTGTACACACACATATATATATATATATATATATATATATATATATATATATATAAATGCAATAAAAGCATGTCCTCAATAACAACTGGGCCATATCCGGCGACTTTTTTAGGAGGGGGCCTTTTACTACCAGGCGCTACTTTGTTAACCCTGTGCCCCCTTCACCAAGGCTTTGGCTGCGCCCCTTTTGAGGCTACATGTAATGGGGCAGGTGGTCTGCTTCTTAACGTATTCGATGTGCTGTTGGTGAAAATAAATCGTTTGTGGGACCATGGGAGTATTGAGACATTTTGTCACGTTCTCCAGTCAAGCGGAGATTTGCGGCACAAGTTCGGACCGGGTCGGTGTACCGCGGTACCGCAGTACAGCGTACCGTGAGGCAGGTACCGGTGTCCGCAGTGGCAGTACATCCGCACCGTCTCGGGTCCCGACACTCGGACTTTGAGCACCCGTGGCCCCATCACCAGCTTGTACAGGTACGACAGCCAGTAATCCTGCAACGACGGTAAGGTGTCGCCAGGGATCTGCGGGACAGTCTCGTCTCTTGAGGACCAGAGCCGCTGTGAATTTTGGCGACCGAACGCGCTGAACGGATTACTGATTTCGCGATGTTCCCACGGATACAGATTGTGATATGGGTTTTACAATTTACGCTGCTTATACGGTCACCACTTCAATTGTCCTGTTTATTGAAATTCCTAGTTGTCGCGACTAGCGGAATTTTCCTAGTTGAATACTACCGGACAACCCCATCCCCTCCGCCGACGTGCGAGATCCGCCCCCCCCCCCCCCCGTGGCGAGCTCTTCCACCACACCGAGAGCGTTGATAGCCAGCCTCGTTACACCAGCTCCAATCGGTCCTCTCCCCCGACCCCTCATCTCCTTACTCCAGCGTACCGGGTTGGGCCTCATCTCGGCGTTAAGCAGGCCGTAGTGTCCGCCGTAGAGCGCCTGGCGCACCACCAGCTGGACGCCCTGCCGCGCCGCCACCCCCAGCTTGTCCAGCCAGAGGAAGCCGGCCAGGTAGGCGTCACTCAGCCCGGGCGCGCCGCCGCCCCAGGCGCTGCCCGTCTCCGACAGCCAGATGGCAGCACCAGCGGCCACGCGGCGCACGGCCGCGATTTGGCGCTGCAGCACCGCTAGGTGGCGCAGGTCGGTGAAGTCGGCGACGGTGGCGGTGCGGCCGTCGAAGTAGTATCTGGGGAGGCGGGGGAAGAGGCGCGACTTTGCAGGGGACGTGGCTGGAAATAGCGCGACGGGGTTTGGGCTGTCGATCGGCCGTTTAGCTGATATGCCCATTGGCAAATGTCCGGATCAGACGCGAATACGATAACCGTGTTCGCTGCCAAGGTCATCAAGCTTTTTTTCGCAAATCCAAAGCAATCATAAACCTTGAATGGAATAAAGGATTGTATGACGCGACATCATTAAGCACCGTATTATCTGTTATCTGTCTTTGATCCGTTTGAAGACGTTTTGTATTTGCAGCTCTCCGCCAACGCGCGTTGCTCTCAGACTCACTGGTGAAAGGTCACGGCGTTTAGCGCCGCTCCGGCGGTGGGCAGGAACCCCTGCAGGTACAGCTGGGCGGGCATGTCGACCGGCTGCTGCTCCAGCTGACCCTTGACCTTGGGTCGGTTCACGTCTGGTCCCACCAGCTGGGCGGCGGGTCCCAACAGCTGACGCAGCCGTAGGAAGTCAGCAGCCAGCGTCTCCGGCGCCACGGAGTAGTTGAACTTGTGCTGGTAGCTGTTGGGCTCTGGGGAAGATCGGATTCGTCAGAGCGGCCGCTGTGAGATCGCGGTTTGTCTGGCGTCGGGTCGTGCAGATGCGGCCAAGGCCGGTCCTGAGAACTTACGTTGACGCAATTTAACACCTTATTGGAGCCAACGTGATAGGTTAAAGCGATTTTTCAAGATAAACAACGCAAAACTCGTAATTTCATACCAGCTACCCGGATGATACATGGAGCCATCTTTAGAGGTCTTGCTACAAATTACGGGTTTTGGGGGCATCTATTGCAGTAGGTCATGCAGCGCCATGGCCTTTTTCCCAGGTCCTATTATTTGCCCATCGTCCTTATTCAGCGCTTCATCAAAAGTGCCCTGCACCCCCGCCTCAGCGCCGGCTTGCTGCAGCCGTCAGCTACAAGTTCACCCCACTGCCACCCTGGCTGACCGAGCGCTAGCACGATCCCGACGTCGGGCACTGCGCGCGGTGAGACCCATAGTGTTACCCTCCATAGCTCCGAAACGGCCGATCGCTGCCGAACACGCTCTGACTAAGGCACACCAAGATTCTACCCAATCCAGGCCTCTCGCTGACTTCCCCCAACGGCGGCGGGCGCGCAACGCAAGCGTCCCGGCCGGCCGAAGCAGCTGAGCTCGCGGACCCGCCGCACGAGCCGCGGCGGCCTCCCGACTCGAGGATGGTTCGCTGGTGCTCGCTCGCGCGGCGTCCCCCATCCCTCACCGTTGCCCAGCTGCCAGACGACGCTCAGTCCCTCCTCCGCCAGCGTGCTGACCACCTTCCCGGCGTTGGTGCCGTTCCAGCGACCGTCCGGGTCCCGCAGCAGTGCGTTCAGGTCAAACAGCAGAGTCAGGTTCAGGCTGCTGACGAACTCGCTGAGTTGAGACCACGACTCAGCTGTGTGGGGTGGGGGTCTCATTGGATCTGAAGCGTTTACACGCACACTCACGCACTGCGCAGCGGAAGCCAGCAGAAGCTGTGGGTTTGTAGGATCAGTGGTGGCTAATTATGACATTTTAGTGTTAATTTACATTTATCATGTCTAATTAGTGTCCTATTTCATTATATTTTTACACATACATGGCAAGCACATCCAGTTCAATTCACTTGAGTAATCGTATGCAATTGCAAATTAATGCAGCTCTCGGCATAATGCCGTACATGCGGCCAAATCTCACCGTAAATGCGCGATATATGAACTATTTCTTTTTCAATGTGTTCTACGTTATCTCAACATCACCCGCGGTATCACGTCGATGACCCCAAGATTACATGATGCACGGACCGGTGAGCTGAAACGGTGTGGTCTCCTTCTGGAACGGCGCGCACTTGGCGGTGCCCCTGAAGAGGCTGACGTCCTGCTGAAAGATCAAGCAGTCCGCCTGGGTTCCTCCGAAGCGGAGGACGGCCGGGAGGAGTCCTCGGACGAGGGACTTCAGTCTCTCGGAGCTGGAAATAAGGTACAGAAATGTCACGGCCCGGTCTCAAAGGGCAACAACCGAGATTGAGCTAACGCACCGTACTTCGTGCCGCGTTAAGCTGTTAATGTCGTTCAGATTCGCTTCATAGCATGAAGTTATTTTGAAGCGTAACGACAAGTTGAGAAACTTGGTGTCACTTGCACATCCATCAACCAGTACGTTCACGCTGCCGACAATCTAGGCCATTCGTGGGTGTGCGCGGGCGCCTCGTGTGCTGATCAATGATAACTTAGCGTGCCCGGTGGTAAAAACCAGATTTAATCGTCCTATGTCTATATTGCATAGGACTCTTAGAATTTGCACGCACCAGGGGCCACTAGTGCCCATCTGGGTCGCAGTGTATGCTTCTACGCATTATGCGTCGTCAAGCTTCAATTATGCTTCTATACGCGGATACACGCTAGGTAGACACTTTTAATCCACAAATACTTTTAAAATCGGGTTAGAATGTCCTGGATCAGGACACTACGGTCACCAAGCTTATGTTCAATAAACCAGCAATGTATGCTGTAACAACGGTTTTGCTGTAAGACGGTTACGCTACGGCGTTTTAGACGGGCGCGATGCGTTCTCTAGACCCCACAAGCATATGGCGTCGCGTCCGCCTGCAGTTCTCACAAGAGGTTCTCACACCTGCCGTTCTCACAAGAGGTTCTCATACCTGCCGTTCTCACAAGAGATTCTCACACCTGCCGTTCTCACGAGAGGTTTTCACACCTGCGGTTCTCACAAAAGATTCTCACACCTGCCGTTCTCACAAGAGGTTCTCACATCTGCGGTTCTCACAAGAGGTTCTCACACTTGCCGTTCTCACAAGGCCACCCTCACCTTAGGTCCAGGTGCTCCCAGTCCTTCTTGGCAATGCCATCGTCGATGGCAAAACTGAGGAAGTCGTCGCGCACGATGTTTGCCAGCTTGCGATGCAGACGGACCTTGGACGTGCCCCCCGCGTGCTCGCGAGCACCGGCCACCGCCGGACAGAACCCAGCGGTTGCCACGACGACGAGCACACACATCCACATCTTCAGAGTTACGCTTGTTTGCGTGCACTATGTTTGCACTCGCGTGCGGACGCCAATAAGGATGCGTCACCCGCGAACTTCGCTCTCTTGGGATTTCGGTTTTGTGTCCGCACTCAGCGCGCACCGTCGCTACCGTGTCTCTACACACTACTATTTCTTGTGCGGGAGACCGGGCGTCGGCACCCTCCTCTGTTTGGATCTATATAAACAAGGTCGCCCTCCCAGGAGCGCGAGCGCTGCATATACAATGAAGGGGCGCTCATCGGAATTTGGCACACAATTATTATTTGTCCAGCAAAATAACAGCGTCATGAGGCAATGCGCGCAATTGTGTGGAAGCGGTGAGGAGTAATGTACAGGCGCAGAGGCGTGTAAGTGTGGAAGCGGTGAGGAGTAAATGGACAGGCGCAGAGGCGTGTAAGTGTGGAAGCGGTGAGGAGTAAATGGACAGGCGCAGAGGCGTCCGCAGCTGTCGGCACGTGACTCGGCGCGTCGGTACCCGCGCGTTGTGTTTGCACCAGGTTGCACCAGGTTGTGAGCGCTCATGGCGTTAGGTGGGTTGCATCATTCAATTCTGGTTAAAATGTGCATCATGACACCTCCACTGCTGCCAGCACGTACTGAGCAGCCCATGATTTACATTGCAGCACGTAGAGGGTTGCCGCTTGTGTTTATCCGTTGGCATTACAGCTTCGAAAATAACGGTAAAAAGCGTGCACAAACCACGCCAAAACAGGGCATAGCAGATTCTGTCCTGCTGGGAAAGCCGCCTGTAGCGCCCAGGCTTTCCAAACCGGGACGCTGCTCCAACCACGGCATGTGCAACTAGACGTTGGACCAGTTGACTCGCGCGCCACGCTGAAATCAACCAGCGCATCTCAAGCCCCCCACGCTTGGTTCTGCGGCTTGGTTCCGGCGTTAGTCCGAGAGAAACTCCAACGACTGTCTTATAGGCGTCCAGTGGTCCTCAACGCGTGGCAAGCTCGGGTTTTACAGGCGCCCAGTGGTCCTCAACGCGTGGCAAGCTCGGGTTTTACAAGCGCCCAGTGGTCCTCAACGCGTGGCAAGCTCGGGTTTTACAGGCGCCCAGTGGTCTGCAACGCGTGGCAAGCTCGGGTTTTACGGGCGCTCAGTGGTCTTCAACGCGTGACAAGCTCGGATTCTACAGGCTCGGATTTTACAGGCGCCCAGTGGTCTTCAACGCGTGGCAAGCTCGGGTTTTACAGGCGCCCAGTGGTCTTCAACGTGTGGCAAGCTCGGGTTTTACAGGCGCCCAGTGGTCTTCAACGCTTGGCAAGCTCGGTGGTAGCATATATTGCTTAGGGGCACAATAACCCCATACACTTCGCACAGCACAGTCGAAGGCGTCTAAACATATCGTTGAGCAGTGTATGTGGCGTCCAATGGACTGAGACTCAAGACCATCTCATGGCACCACAAGACAGTGGGCACACGGCGCTGGTTACATGGTTGCTGCACCTGCTAATGGTATTAACCTAAGGTCACACGTCTCTCTCCCCAATGAATGCCGCCTCACAACAGGCAGTGAACATCAGCCAATTGATTCACAATTTGCTATTTTCAGCCATTTGAACCTGTGGTTCTATCGGGTCTCGATGACTACGGCACACCATGTGGTTTGATACGCGAGCACGATTCAATGATACCACTAGTTGTAAGGCAAGAAGACGCAGAGTCTGGTCAGCTAGGGCGACTGCTAACATGAAGATCCTGGCGCGTCATTATATACGCCCAGACAACAAGTAAAAAGACTTAAAAACCAACTAAATATAGAAGCTGAACACAAATTCATGAGCGTCATTGGCTCAGGGGAAAAGTTTGACAAGTTTTCTCGGACTTAGCATTGGTACTTCAGGTCAGAGGAATACCGCTCGACGTAAGCGATGGTCAACTCCGGGAAAATCTCAGCCTGCAAATGGTCAAAGGGCTGACCTCGACTTTATGATGTGCGAGACAATTCCCCAGATTCGGAGCCAATCACAGGCTACGGGAAATCCCATGGACTAAGGGACTATCTCCAACAGCTGTGTAACTGAGAGCGCTCCAGACACAAAGCTAACATTGGAGCCATCCGCCGCCAACCAGACTTCAGAAACTCACTCTGATGCTAACGTTGGACCAGGCTCACAAGTGCGGCCAGGATGGCTCGATTTCCCCCGCCCAGCGGCGGCGTAGTCCGTCAGTCCTGGCTAGACTCGCTCACTCCGCCTCTCTCTACCGCTGACACCTCGACCTCGGTCCGACGGGCACCTCAGACTGAGCGCCGCCTCTGCCTGAGCGCCGCCTCAGCCTGAGCGCCGCCTCAGCCTGAGCGCCGCCTCAGCCTGAGCGCCGCCTCAGACTGAGCGCCACCTCAGCCTGAGCGCCACCTCAGCCTGAGCGCTGCCTCAGCTTGGGCGCCGCCCCAGATTGAGCGCCGTCACAGACTGAGCGCCGCCTCAGACTAAACGTCGCCTCAGCTTGAGTGCCACCTTAGCTTGAGCGCCGCCTCAGACTGAGCACCGCCTCAGACTGAGCACCGCCTCAGACTGAACGTCGCCTCAGACTGAGCGCCGCCTCAGTCCGCCCGAGCCCGCCCCAGGCCGCTCAGTCTGTCGCCTCGGCCGGCTGGTGTCTGCGCCTGATGTCTGTGTCTGCGCGGCTGTTGGTGCCCAGCAGACAGAGGCCCTGGCCCGGCGAGACGTGCATCATCTTCAGCGGCTCGTCCTCGGCCGCCATCAGCTGAAACGCAGCGGCCGTCAGGCGAAGGCTGGGCCCTAACACACGTCACGTGCAGCGGAATGCGCATCGGTGTTACGTGACGGACGCCGCCTGAGACGCGACGGACAGCTGCGTCACGACACGCGCAGAGCTGGTGGTGCGGTCGTGGGCGGCAGCTGAACCTGGGCACGGGGCACGTGGAACACAGATCATTTCTGCCGGAAGAAAAAACACGACGGACAAGACAGCGCGAGTTTCATCCGGAACCCAGCTCGCGCCAGCTCCATTGGGATACGCCGCGTCGAAATCGACGGGGATCGCGCCCGGGAATCGAGCCCAGTTGTGGCAGGCACTGGGCGAAGCCATGCGTCACGCGGACATCCTGTGCGTTAACTCGCTACTTTAGGAGCACATCCACATTGTGGCTTCCGGAGGTGTGCGCCTCTCCCGCCGTATCAGACTTCTTGCATGCATTATTACGTGCTAGAGTTAATGTTGGAATTCAACATTCGAGGCAGATACTAAAATAAGGCAGATCGAGACTATCCGGTGTTATTTTACGCCCTACAAGCAATTTCGCGCGCTAACGCACTAAGCCCGGTTTTCAGTGACCACTTTTTTATTGTGAGCCCCCCCCCCCCCCACCCCCACATCGTGTGTGTTAACTCGCTACTTTAGGAGCACATCCACATTGTGGCTTCCGGGGGTGTGCGCCTCTCCCGCCGTATCAGACTTCTTGCATGCATTATTACGTGCTAGAGTTAATGTTGGAATTCAACATTCGAGGCAGATACTAAAATAAGGCAGATCGAGACTATCCGGTGTTATTTTACGCCCTACAAGCAATTTCGCGCGCTAACGCACTAAGCCCGGTTTTCAGTGACCACTTTTTTATTTTGCCCCCCCCCCCCCCCACCCCCACCCATTGTGAAGTTCTACAAACGCCCGTGCATCCCATGCTCTGACCTGGACGAGTAGCATGCGCCGAGTGCGCTCCGAGAGGTTGGGGTAGCTGCCGTGGATCAGCAGGTAGGAGAAGATGGCCACCTGACCCCGGCGGCCCTCCAGTGCTGACGCCTTCGACAGCGGAAACTGCTCCTGGCGGGACGAAGGCGTGGCGGTCACGTGGTGCCGATGCGACCAGACGCGGGACGTCGGCGAATGTCACGTGACATGCCTTGTGCTGCCTTCGGGGCATGCGTAAGCTGGCGGACCGAGGGGAAGAATAACAGGATGAATTTCTGGAGGGAAACGGAGCTTTGAGTACTCAGTTCCAGAACACCGTAGCTCGTTTACAAGCTGGTATTAAATTCGTGAAGCTGCTCCTCTACTTCACTCGTACAAAATAAGCCTTGCCTACAATGCCTGGTCGGTGAAGTGGGATGCACGCGCGAAGTTGGGTCACTTGCGTTTCGTTCCGCGCATTATGTACTGAACGCCATATGTTCTATTCGCCTCAGATGGGCGTGCAACGTGCCGTGTGCGACATCTGGACACACCAATCGAGAGATCACCAGTCGGCAGATTACACCAAATAAAAAATTATAGACAGTTCAGTGCAGCTGCGCTTTAGTCGCCTCTGCTCGACGGACCTGGTCCAGGTGGTGAAAGCCGGGGTCAGAACTGCAGTCCTTCTGCGGCCCCAGCTTGTGGGAGCCCGGGTACACGGCCAGACAGCCGTTCTCCACGTCCGAGTCGTCCAGGTGGATGAACACGGCCACCATTGAGTCGTGGCGAAAGGGAAAGTAGTGGTAATCCTGACGACCCAGAGATGGCAGTGTTACCGTTTGTATGCACCATGAGGTTTTGCAGCGCGCGACATGCGTGGCCGGTTACGTGCGCTTTGGCCCCTCGGTATGACGCTCGATTAGACGTCAGTGATAAGACTGTGCCGTCAAAATGCGCCGGGTTTGGGAACCACGCATTGTCAATAAAAAACTGATATGCCGATGATGTGACGTGTGGTAACAAAACTATGATTCCGCCTCCGGCTAACAAAACATCGCCAGAGCCAACACGAGGACGACAGCTAATACAGAGCCTTCTCCAACATGTCCCCCTCGTCGCTCGCCGGCCGGCCCTCCGTGTCGCCGGCCTGACCTGGTGCATAGGGTACGGCGAGCCGCGGCCCGGCGGCTTCACGTGCGCCTTGGTGTGGTGCAGCAGGATGTTCTGTGTGCCCATGACGTCACTGCAGGCCTCCATCATGCGCTGGTGCACCAGCATCCTCATAAAGGTGGCGCTGTGGAACTGCAGGTTGTGGATCGAATGCACCTGGAAGCATCGCGGCATGGCTTGGCACCGGAAGATGTTGCCGGCGCCGCCGTGGCAAAGCTTCGCGGCGCAAAATGGAGGCCAGGGACATAAATGTTGTGCGGAGGACACCATTTGTGTTTGCTTCATTACTGATGGTTTGCTGATCGAACTATGCAGTACAACGCGGTCACGACCAAGCGGCAACAAACAAAATGGTGATGTAGAGCGATGTTGTTTCGTCTCCAATGTAGCTCACAGCATATTTATTGTTTATGCCAAGGCACTTGCTGCTTTGAACCACGCGCTCCGCGGGCCACTGAGGTCTCATGTCAAGGCAAGGAGCAGTCCACTATGCCCGCAAGGGGAGGACCATCGACGAACGGATGGATGGACGACAGGACGTAAAGGGAGAGGTGGTCGAGGGAGCAGACACTCCGTGTGACATCCGTAATCTACTGTACCTGCCCACATAAATGACGCTGAGATTCTGACATCAAGTAAGTGATGAAGTGAGCGAAGGTGCGACATTAAACGGCGAGGTCTGGCTAGGAGCGTGGGGTCGGGTAAAAAGGCCGCCATTTTATACCTGCCCACATAAATAACGCTGAGATTCTGACATCAGGTAAGTGATGAAGGAAGCGAAGGCGTGAAATTGAAAGGCGAGGTCTGGCTAGGAGCGTGGGGTCGGGTAAAAAGGCCGCCATTTTATACCTGCCCACATAAATAACGCTGAGATTCTGACATCAGGTAAGTGATGAAGGAAGCGAAGGCGTGAAACTGAAAGGCGAGGTCTGGCTAGGAGCGTGGGGTCGGGTAAAAAGGCCGCCATTTTATACCTGCCCATATAAATGACGCTGAGATTTTGACATCAAGTAAGTGATGAAGTGAGCGAAGGTGCGGCATTAAACGGCGAGGTCTGGCTAGGAGCGTGGGGTTGGGTAAAAAGGCCGCCATTTTATACCTGCCCACATAAATGACGCTGAGATTTTGACATCAAGTAAGTGATGAAGTGAGCGAAAGTGCGACATTGAACGGCGAGGTCTGGCTAAGAGCGTGGGGTTGGGTAAAGAGGCCGCCACTGACGGTGAAGTTCCTGCCGTCCGGCATGCCGTCCCTCTGCCAGTCTCCGGTCCAGGTTCCGTCCATCTGACTGTTGGTCCCCTGGGCCCTGGTGAGAAAGGTCAGTTCAGGTCAGGGTGGGTCACCTGGGCTCTGGTGGGAGACGGGGCCAGGTCAGGTCCCCTGGGCCCTGCTGAGAAAGATCAGCTCAGGTCAGGGTGGGTCACCTGGGCTCTGGTGGGAGACGGGGCCAGGTCAGGTCCCCTGGGCCCTGCTGAGAAAGATCAGCTCAGGTCAGGGTGGGTCACCTGGGCTCTGGTCGGAGACGGGGCCAGGTCAGGTCCCCTGGGCCCTGCTGAGAAAGATCAGCTCAGGTCAGGGTGGGTCACCTGGGCTCTGGCGGGAGACGGGGCCAGGTCAGGTCCCCTGGGCCCTGCTGAGAAAGATCAGCTCAGGTCAGGGTGGGTCACCTGGGCTCTGGTCGGAGACGGGGCCAGGTCAGGTCCCCCCCCCCCCTGGGGTCTGGTGGGCCAGGCCAGATCAGGGCAGGTCGCTTGGTTCCTGACAGGTGACACAATAGGGTTTGCGCGCGCGAGTGTTGTTGACGCTTGGAATGGTGGCCGAACTTGTCGGAGGTTTCATTGACTCACTTTCGGCAGCACTTGTTTCCTTCGACACAAACAGCACAACAGATTACGAGTGGGCAACTGCAATTTCTTGGTCATGCTTGAGACAATCCAATCACATTTCGACTAGTTTGCCAAAGGAAAACACTCGGGACAATCTCTTGGATCTCGACGTGTCGCCTCGCAGGATGTCCGAGCCCGACCTGGGTTCTCAGAGGTAAGCCAGGGTGCCCGAAACTGACCTGGGCTCTCAGAGGCCAGCCAGGGTGCCCGAAACTGACCTCTGCACCCGAAACTGGCCGGGGTACTCAGAAACCGCCCGGGTTCACAGACCGGTCTGGGTAGCCAGAGACTGGCCTCGGTGCTCAGAGACTCGCAAGGATTCTCAGAAACTGGCGGGATACTCAGGTTTTCAAGGGTGTCCGAGACTCGCCTGGCGAACACAAAGTCATACTCCCTGCTGATCTCGTCCACCTCCTCCTTCGAGAACACGTCGTCCAGCAGGACGTAGCCGTTCTCGGCGTAGAACTGCTTCTGCTCGTCAGTCAACATCCTGCAGTCGTGAGATGAACGGGGACGAGGGTTAGCCACTCGAATCCATATGACTTCGAGCACACACGCTGTTATCTGTGTAGTTGCAGTTCATGTCAGCCAGACATTCCGAGCGTCATTGTAACTGGAATAATGACGAAGGTTTGCGAATGTAGCGACTTCTCGTGTCGAGTTCCAACGTCAAGGCATGACTAATTCCGTATCAGTCTTTCATTTTCGGCAACGAAGCGTCGCTTCCTGCACGCTAAACGCCATTCTCATGCACTGAGTGCAGTAACATGATGCGTGCAAACGTATGCACATGTGCACGCTCTGCTGATGCACGTCTGCACACACCTCGTGTGCACGGCGCCCACATGTGGCCGATGCTTCGAGGCGATGACGCCGCTCACCTCTCCGTAGCAGTGAGCGCTGCTCGTTGTTAAGCTCGCGTGTCGCCGCGCGCGCACCCCCTCCACGGAGCTCACTTCTCGCTGCGTCTGTCGGCTGCGTCGCCCGTCGGCTGTCGACCGGCGACACTAGCGCCACCAGGCGACGCCGCACCGGTGCGTGGAGACCCCGGCGGTGGAGATGCAAACTCACGCCGCCAACACTTGAAGGTGGACTCTTGTTGACGATTTCAGGCAAATTGACTCAGCTTCAGCTACAGAAGAATAGTGGCTGAGCCAATCAAGACGTTTTTTAGCAGCCCAACTGGATTTCACGCTGAACAGATTGTTCGTCACTCGACCGGTTTTCGCATCTCTACGGCATTGATCCTCGTCGACACACGAGCTAACGATAACAAACACACACGGTCGCCAGGCAGCGCCCCACGTGGCTCAGCCCATTAAGCAGACGTCGAGCATGGGCGCACCCAGGACCGAAACCGCTGGGGCAATGTGATCAGGTCATCGGGACTCTTGCTGTCCGGCTGCTGACCTGGAAGAATCGGAGGTTTCTTTGGATTGGTCCTTATTTGGGCATGCTGGCATGGGGATGACCGACGAACGCCGACCGCAGAATATCCGCTCACGGTCTCAACAGCCGCGTACAACTATTCCGCGACGCAGTAATATAGTTCCGCGCGCCCGACGTGTGAGGGAGACTGTTCCTGACGATCTGGTGTCTGTAACTTAGACCACTGATTTTTGCTACTTCGTCGCAATCAGCTATATATACATTTGAAACACTTAGTGGGTACCGTGGTGGTGCCTGGAATAATTCTCCTTTGGCCCTAGTCCTGACTGGCGGCTGATTCAAACCCCACCCCTTCGCTTTTCACACATCATTCGCACTCTAATTGCACCCCACCGGACATCAGCATGGTAAATCGCGGAGAGTATACGGCTAAGGCGACAAACTATACTTCTATCCTGGGAGCTGCCAAGCGACAACGCAGAAAATCCCGGGATACCAGCATACCAATGACACTATCAGCCAGCCAGCATACCACCACTGAGCCATCAGCACCGCCGCTCTGCGTTCAACAGTCACGAATACGCTGATCATTGCCAATACGCGGTCGGCCACCTGTTTTCACCTTCACCCTGGCCAGCGATAGTCGTTACCAAATACGACGCAACAGGAATTTCAATGACAGATATGGGTATTGCATCCAGTACCGATAAACTTTGAAACACGTTCTTATTTGTCAGGCTATGGCAGGGCCCATGCTTTTAACACAACGAAACATTGCTCCATTTAGTACACACAGCACGCCCTCCAATACATTGCAGATCCATCACCTCACCACGCTTTACCTGCGCTTCCTCTCGTCTGTCTCCACAGTATCCCCGGCACCTCTGCCCTGACATGACAACACCGCGCTCCAGTCCGAACAGAACCTGTATTTGCTTCTGAACAGCCACCTGTAAGGCGACGCGCCGCTGCCGGTGTCACCGACGGAGCGACAGCGGGCGTCCATGACTGGTCCCAGCAGCATCGGGACAGCAGTGTCACCGCTCGACGAGCTAGTGATGATGCCACCACTCGACGCACTACAGTAATGACGTCAACGCCCGGCGTGCCACAGTGACGTCGCTGTCCGGCGCTACACTAATGACGTCACCGCTCAACGCGCCACAGTAATGACGTCACCGTTCGGCGCGCTACAGCAATGACGTCGCGCTGGAGAATCACACGGATCGGGATATCACAGCGGCCGATGGAAGACAAGGCATCCGAACAGCGCCGCGTCTGGGAGATGCGCGACGAGAGCGAGATGTCGGACCAAATGAAAGACGCCGCGCCACGAACGGCTTCAGAGTATTGTTAGACATCAATGGCACAGTACATTGGCAAGGAGTGGCTGCCATAGTTGGTTTCGTAAGTAACCAAAGCACAGGTCTGGAACCTGTCATTTGGTCTGAATTTGTGATTGTCAGTCAGCCCTGCTGGGGACAATGGCGGTCATGTCTTCTCACATGACTGCCTTAGCGATCCCTAAGTCTGACAAGCCTGACACTGCCCTGTTAAACAGAGGAATTGCACGGTTTTGCTGTCCCTGGCACCATCTGATTACCCCAGCAGCCTGGAAACACTGACGATGTACCTCCCAACAAATCAAAGTGCTCCCTAACCATCACCACCAACGTGTCGTCGATCCCTCTTTCCAAGAGCGCCGAATCGAATCACCGCCGCCGCACGCATGGCGAACGGACGGCGCAGGCACTTGCAGTACCGCACGCCGCCGACAGATGGCTCTAGAGCTCGCCCAGGCCTGGCAGCGGGAACTGGCCGGCGAACGCTTCGACCTCGCCGCGCAGTTTGGCGGCCGGTTCAGCGAACTGCTCGCCGGCCAGCACGCGGCGGAAGTCGACCATCTTGACGCCGGAGACGGCCACCACCTGCTTGGCCAGCTGGAGCGCTGCGGGACACCCAGGCGGGCACATCAGAGCACATTGTGGGAAGACGGGGACGGAACAGATCGAAGTACATCCGAGTCATATCGAAACCATACAGGCTGTGAAAATTTGGCAAAACGGCCTTTCATGTACACAAAACAGTGCGCGTTGCCGGGCTTCGGTGAGAACACGGCACTCACCCTTGTCGATGAAGTCCACCACCGTGTCGAAGTGTTCCTCGGTGAGGCCGCGCGTGGTGAGGGCCGGCGTGCCCAGACGAAGGCCGCTCGGATTCAGCGCAGACTTGTCACCCGGCACTGTGGCACACAGGCCGGCCTTCAGCGCAGCAGACGGCCACAAAACCAGACGCAGCAGGGATAGACGGCGAAACGATAGCATGGCCAGAATCCTACTTTATCAGAGGTGACTAAAGGTTTATGAGTTCTTTATTAGTGCGGCTTTAGATTAACTGCCACACCATACAGCGTGCAGCAGCATCGGGCCTCGCCACCGGCACCACCTCCTCCCCACGCTCCGCACCGGTGTTCTTGTTGCAGGCGATGGCGGCCGCCTCCAGGAGGAGCTCGCCCTTGGCGCCGGTGAGGCCCGTGCCGCGCAGGTCCAGCCACACGATGTGGTTGTCGGTGCCGCCGGTGACCAGCGTGTAGCCGCGGGCCTTCAGGCCGGCCGCCAGGCGGCGCGCGTTGGCCACCACCTGAGGGGGGCGGGGCAGAGCGGTCAGGGTGGATCAGGAGAACTGGGAGGGGAGAGGCGGGCCGGCCCGCAGATTGCGGCGAGAGGTTCCCAATGGTGGGGGAAGGGGGGGGGGAGAAGGGCGGAAAGGCGACGAAGACAATCTAAACACCCTCAATGTAGCTCGGGCGCCTAACTCGAGCTGTGTCAGCTTTGGAAACAACGCAGAGGGGAGAAACGGAAACAGCGAGGTTCGGATGACCAGAGCGGAGAAAACGGAGATGCCGGGAAAACAGGGGAGGTATGCGACTGGAGGACACGAGATAGACTGCTCATCTACCCACCCGTCTGCCCCGTCCCCCCCCCCCCCCTCCCCCGCGCCCTCGGACGCCGTCCTCACCTGCGTCTGGTACAGCTTGAACTCGGGCGTCTGCGCCTGCAGCAGGGCGCAGGCCACGCCGGCGATGGCGTGGTTGTGAGGACCCCCCTGCAGGCCGGGGAACACGGCTTGGTTGATGCGGTCCTCCAGGTCGTACGGCACCTCCTTCCCAGTCCGGTCCACCGAACGCACCCCTGCAGGCGGGAGGGCAGGCGTTCACGTTGGTCGTGGTCGTGCTACGGTCGGTGGGGTGCTCGGCGACGTTCTGGGTTGATAGGTAGTGTAAGATGCTCACAAGTTAACACAACCACGTGGGCAAAAAGGTCGGTGTGGATGCGTTGCGCTTCATGTTTTGTGGTATGCATACAGCCAAATAAACGCCTCACAACAGGCAATAATAGGTGGTGAGTCTATTATCAACACGTCACCAGCATCTCCTTAACCCTCCACACATCTAACTCCTTAATTTACTACCCTCCCAGGGTGCCGAAAGTGTAGTGGTTACGTCTGCGTTAATCTACTACGCATCTGGGAAACCAGAGATACGGCCTTCGAATCCCCGCGGTGCCCGCCCCTCCTGCCAGGGTGAGAGCCAGGCGATGCCATATAGCCCCAGCAGCTGAAAGCGTCGTAAAGTCCCAGTGGCGGGACGAGTCACCACTCTCTCACTCGCACCCCCACCCCCTCCCCCTCTGGGCCAGGGCGGACCAGGCTCTCGGACTGGTGTCCCAGTGCTCTGGAGGAGGCGAACCCCCATTTCCCAGGCCAACGCCACCAAAACCCTGCGATCCCTCCTCTCCTCTCCATCTTGGGGCGGCGCACCTCCCTCCTTCCCCGCTGACAACCCACACTCGGGCGCACCTCGACGGAAGAAGATGAGGCCGGCGCGCGCGCCCCTCAGCGTCTTGTGCGTGGTGCTGGTGACGATGTCGCAGAGCTCGAAAGGCGACGGCGCCACGCCGGCCGCCACCAGGCCCGACACGTGCGCCATGTCGGCCATCAGCAGGGCGCCCACGTCGTCCGCGATTCGGCGGAAGCGGGCGTAGTCCAGGTCACGCGGGTAGCAGGAGACGCCTGGCGGAGCGGCGCGGTACCGGTCACGGTCACGTCTCCTCGGTCACGCCTCCTCCGCCACGCCTCTTCCAGTCACTGCATCCCAGCCAAGCCTGCGGTGAAACCCCTCCACAACGTACGACATCACCTGTGACTGGACTCTCGTCCTGGTCCTGGTCCGAGTCAGGGTCCGGGTCCGGGTCCGGGTCCGGGTCCGGGTCCGGGTCCGGGTCCGGGTCCGGGTCCGGGTCCTGGCCCTGGTCCCGGTTTTGGTTTCGGTTTCGGTCTCGGTTCCGGTCCTGGTTCCGGTCCCCCCCACCCCACACACACACCATTTCATCGTGCCAATCAATCTAACTTGGCGAGAATGCCGCCATGTCTCCTCACTCATGCGCGACGGGCGATCACTGGAGACAACCCGCCTGATACACGGCATGGCCCTCACGCCGCAGCCCCACCTGCGATGATGAGGCGCGGCTTGAAGAGACGCGCCGTCTCCTGCAGCTTGTCGTAGTCGATCTCCGCCGTCTCAGGGTTCAGCTTATACGGCATCGACTCGAAGAAGATGGACGTGGCCGACACCTGAAGGGACAGCGGCGAGGTCAGCAGATCGGCGCCAAAGCGCCGAAAGTACCGCCGACATAAAAAGAGATCCCACTCCGTTACTCAGCGGCGTTATTTAACACCGGTCACTGAACATCGTATCCCGATATGTGTCCGCGCCATTTCCTTGTACTACCACAAAGCGGCTTTCTATGAGAGCGAGACCACCTGACTGTCTAGCACACCTGCATCCAGATCGGCACACAAGCCAGGCACAGAGAACATGGAGGGAAGCGTCCGAATGGAGCGACCTAGAGTTGATGGACCCGAGCTGCAGGAACCGGCATGCCAATGGTGAGCGAGATAGCGGAGCCCAATGGCGTTGGAATTTCGTTTCAGGCTCATGTTGGGATGCAGCATTACGCGTACATCTGGTCAAGGCCATATCAGTCCATGAGTGCAGTGTAATCCACCATACCTTATGGGTGACATCAAATCAGAAGTCAGACCAAACAGGCACAGAAACCAGCGCGTCGTAGCGCCAGTTTCCTCTCTTCTTTACACACGCAAGCAGAAGCCAACGCGTACACGCCTGTGAGCGCAGGTCAACCGTCCCAGTACCGTACAGCAGCCACTCCTCCACCGCTCCCCGAGCCGTCACACCTTCCCGACCTTGGGCTGCGTGACCCGACCTTGGTCTTCGTGACCTTACCTTGGTCTGCATGACCTGACCTTGGCCTGCATGACCCGGAATTGGTTTGCGTGACCTAACCTTGGTCTGCACGGCCTGACCTTGGTTTGCGTGACCTGAACTTGGTCTGTGTGACCTAACCTTGGTCTGCACGGCCTGACCTTGGTCTGCGTGACCTGACCTTGATCTGAGTGACCTGACCCTGATCTGAGTGACCTGACCTTGGTCTGAGTGACCTGACCTTGGTCTGAATGACCTGACCCCGGCCTGAGTGACCTGACCTTGGTTTGCGTGGCCCGACCTTAGCCTGCGTGACCTGACCTTCTTGGTCTGCGTGAAGAAGCCGTGCGTGAGGTGGCCGCCGTCGGGCAGGTCCAGCCCCATGATGCGGCCGTGCGGCTCCACCACGGCCGTGTACACGGCGAAGTTGGCCGGTGAGCCAGAGTATGGCTGCACGTTGACGCCCCAGCGCTCCGACGACAGGCCGAACGCGTCCAGCGCGCGCTGCTGGCACAGCCGCTCCACCTGCCGGGCGGCACCAGTCAGCCTGGGGGGCCGGGGGCGGTGTGTGCGGGGAGGGGAGGGGGTCGGCGCCAAATAGGCGAATCGTAAGCATTCCGTTGGCGGCCCGTCGCGGCGACAGCCTATGGCGCCGCAACTTCTCGTCTCAGCTGAAACTTACGGGTTTTAGTGGACAGAGATCGTACTACGTCGCAGCCAAGGTGCAAACCCTTTTGCACGTGCGCGGGTTTGCGTCGCACTTGTCACGCGGACTGCAACCAGAGCCAAAACAGAGCGGGCGTCTGCATCCCAAGTCCCCGCACGGCGCCCGTTAGTAACGCACGCCGATGGCGCACTACCAGCGTCAACGGTGACAGACCGCAACGGCGCGCCTTGGTTCGTGAACGCCGCCGAAACAGGGATCGTGCATGGTGCATTTACTGCACAGACACGGGGGGCAAGGGTCAGCCAGGTCGAAATAACAGATCGACGGCGCATGCCTCAAAGCCCACATAGTCGGCGTCTGTCATGACAGAACCACGAGGAGCCCCTCGTGGCGCCGCCATTTCCAGCAGCGCTGGCGACTGAAACGATCATTTTACAGCTTAGAAGCCGCCTGCGCCGGGAATCGAACCGGGGCCCCCGCGTGACATCAGCGACTCTCCCCACTGTGTCTGACCCGCTGACCTCATCGATGTGCTCGTTGCCGCCGTAGTACCTGGCCCCCGGCAGGCCCTCCGAGTACTTGTTGTGCAGGCAGCTGCCCAGGCTCTGCAGTACCGCCGCAGAGGTGAAGTTCTCCGAGGCTATCATCTCGAGGCCGTGGCGCTGCCGGCTCTGCGGCGTGCCGGGACCAACAGTCAGTCATGCTGGTCTCTCATTGGGAGGTCAGTTTTATGCCATGTCATGTCATGTCATCAGGGTTTTACGACGCACTCAGCTGCTGAGGCTACATGGCGTCGCCTGCCTCTCGCCTTGGCGGAAAGGGCGGGCACCGCGGGGAGTCAAACCCTGTACTTCTGGTTTCCCAGACGTGCAGTCATTAAGGCAGACACGTTAACCACCACACCACTGGCACCCCTGGTGGTCAGTTTTAGAAGCAGGTGGAAGGTGAGCGTGATGGTACTCCAATCATTGGCTGTAAGACACATGGGCGGTGATGCCCATTCCCTTGCCATACCTAACTTTGTAGCAATTCATCATCCTAGAGTTGGGCAATTGGGCAACTGGATCTGGAATTGGGCAATTGGATGATGCAGTCAGGCTACTAACACAGGTACTGCTCAGCATAAGCTCTGATCCAAGAAATCCATCCATTCAAAACTTTAAACTGAATCTTTTAAAAAATGTTATGCCTGTGGCATAACATGGATAGAAACGCCATGAGAATCTCACTGTTCCCAACTGCTTGCCCATCATGGAGCTGCTGGTCAATCCTTGCCTAATCATGGTAGACCATCCCACATCCCACCGGCTGTGTTTCAAGATTTCAGCTAATAATTTATTGGATTGCATTGTGTTTGTCCAGCTAGCTGTTATTAAGAGTGGGTGACATGACTGCACAATATGCAGGAGTAATAACAGTGAAAAAGGGTATTCAATATATTGCTAATGGGATGAAGTGTGTTGTAAGGATGGTGTTAGTTTGATGTTAATCATGCTGTAGACAAACATGGCATGCTGTATTGATCCTCCATGTGTTATAAATGTGCTAAAGCTCAATGTTTGCCCATGTGTCTGAAAGCAACATGTGTAATAAACTTGAAATAAGCAACTGCATTGGTGTGTGTTATAGATCAGCCTCCATGGTCTTCAGAGGAGATGCTGGATGAATGATTGAGCAGCAATGACCACAATACAGGGGGCAGGGTTCACTGTTAGGCTAACTTACATGGACAGGCTAGCCAGACAAAGGGGGTCATCCTAACCTGGGGCAGCCATGCTATAACACAGCATCAAAGGTGAAAACCTCTATTGTCCTGCCTGGCAATGCTTGGGACTGGAGGCAAACTAATCCCATGAATCAGGCTGGTAAAACCTGGATGGTGGGTCCCATTAACATGCAACAAACTCTAGTTAGCAATACTTTGAACCATAGGTAATGACAGGTCTCTGGGGTAACAGCTGAATACTCATTTTGTTTATTCCTTTCCAGTCAATGCTTAAAGAACCCATGTTCATTTCCACAGTTTGGGAAAAATTGCACCAATGGCTCTCCCAGTTCTAATCCTCCCACTGGGAACTCAAAGCTACTCATATAAACCATGTATTCTTTACAAAACATCTCTGGGCCGCTGCATGTCCTGAGCTTGCCACAACAAACGTCACTGGCAATGTTTCTCTGTTGGGGATTCAAATGCCCAATTTATATAAGTTTATGTTTTATATTAATCTTCATTTTGCTGATGGAAAGCATAACAAGTGCAACTTCTATCTCCTACAGCTCAGGCAGAGTGGAGCAGTGCTCAAAGGAAGGGCAACTTGGGCCTTTGCTTTGGCTTGGAATGGTGTATTATTTGTAGTTTATATTTTTGTAAAATCTTGTATTACTTATTTCTAATTAAAAACTAACTTAATGGAATTCTTACCTTCTCCTTCAGAATAATTTCATACAGCTGGGGGTCCACCTTCTTGAGTGGATCATCCAGTGCAAAATGTGCACTGTCACCTTTCCCATTAGATGCCATCTCTGTAAAGAAACATGAGCATATTGTGGCTGTTTCTGTGAGGCACAAACCAGAAACATATCTAGGTTGCAAGATGCCTAAATAAACATCTGCAATGGCAAGTAACCAGCACATATAATGAATTTAAAAAATAGCATCTACAGACATTTTCTGCTTGTTCTCTGAATTCTTTGCCCAGGAAACTATCTTTCTCAATTCAGAATACATCAATTTTCCGTACTTTCTGAGATCATTATGGGCAAAACAGTACCGCGATTTGAACAGCATCTTTAGCCACGTTTTGCGGCTATCTACCCTGAACCACAATAAGGGTAAGCAACCATCCTGGACCTCAGTACCCAAACTTGCCAGCGAACAGCAGGCGGTAAGCCTTCCGTTTTAACACCAAGCGTTAAAAACAACTCAACGTCCGTGAGGTATGGAGCGAACCACAGTCTGTCAATCAGCCATAGGCATGACGAAATTAGTCATACTCACTGATTTCGTATCGACTTCACACTCCGTCCCACCACCTTCGCTCGGTTTCACTCGAGACTGGCGCCCGAGTTTGGCGCGGAATTGGCGCACGCGCACTACGCGCAGGACTCTCGTCTCCAGCAGCGCAACCAGCGTCCGCCCCCCCCCCCCCCCCCCCAATCCTTAGCTGCGCGCGTGGACGTAATCAGCAGGCGGCAAGGAACTGACTGACCTTGAACTGGGCACCAACCCTCAGATGCCCTTGATCCTCACTGCAATGCCTTGCATTGAGTGCAACGTCGAAAATAAGCCTATTGCGTGGAAGCCAGGGAAGAGTCCAGGGAAGCGCCTTGGGATGGGCGGGAAATTCGGTAGAGGGATTCAAAAGTTGACTTGTTTTGAAAAAAAACACCGGATTTGGTTTCCTCCTGGTTCAAGCTACCGTTGGCTAAAAACGTTCTAAACCAAACATCCTTTAATAGCCATTTGCTTATATTTTTAAGTGCAGAGACGTTAGTTCTTGCCTGCCTGGCCGCCTTGAAGGGGAGGAGCCAACATGGTCCGGTTGCCCCCTCCCCCCAGATTCGCCCCTGCCGGAACGTGACTCGAGATCAAGCGCGCAGAGGCGCACTGAGAGGTACAGGGTGGGAAGTTCCCCACTTTGCTACTTCACACCGGACGGCGTACCCGTCTCTGTGCCGATCGTGGTGAGTTCCCGGGACCTTTGCGTGTATTTCCTCCTCCCAGAGTCGCGTCGCTGCCGGATCGAGACCTGCCGGGCAGTTGAAAAGCTGGCGACGTGGAGCTACAGTTCTCTCAATATGTGGTGGTGGTGGTGATGGTGGTGGTGAGGTTGAAGCAGGGAGCGCAGGTCAAGGATTTGAACGAGCGAGACAAAGAGCGATCGTCCCTACCGCCACGCTCGAGGTGCGATGACGGCCCCGGGAGCCCTGGCCAACGATCTTTTCCCACAAATTCCGACGCGGTAGAGCCAGCGGACACACAGCCTCGAACGCCCATGTCCAACTGGAAAGCTTCAGCCCCCTATCTGCGAGTAAACGTCCGTTTCTGCCGGCCGTGTATTTCAAGAGGCGGTTTACGGCGATAGACATTGAGCAGCAGTATCGGCGGCGTCCTTTAGGACAAAACACCAGTATCCGAGGATGAGACCTCTGTCGAACACAACAGCACGCCTAAAACACAACAGCCACCAGCGGACAGGTCCAGCTGTCAGCCGGAAATGACCCACTTCCGGTCACACGGCACAAGGCAGGAGCGAGCTATCGGCACCCTGAGCAGTTATGGATGTCACTGATGGTAGGCCAGAGGCGGTGTGAAAGTGACGATAATCGCTCAGAGGCCACTGGGGTCTGGCCTCAGGTCACCGAGGTCGAGGCTTCAAGGTCGCCAAGGCCAGCGCCCAAGGCACGGGCGCAGACCAAGTCCCATTCGCGTCGTGTTGGCAGTTTGACTACGCTCGGAGCGTCCTACGGTACACAGACCGCCTAGTTACACGGATTCCGGTAGAACTCGCCGCCGCGGCATGACGGCTCGGTGGAACGCGGTCGTTGACAGCCGACAGCCGCGGCGCACTACAGAACACACGGGCGCAAAATTGCCGCCCGGGCACCCACATTTGATTAATGTCCTTGTGTGACTATGGCGAACGCTTAGTGATGCCCGTTGATGCGTAAGCACCGGGAGAGGAGGCCCGGACTCCCAGTGAATCAATGAAAGGCGGCGGCGGCGACGGCGGACGCCCTGGGATATGTTATGCCTGGCGTGATGCCGCCGTCGCGGCTGAGGGAAGAGGTATATGGGCAGGACAGTGACGTCCTTTTGACAATGACTGCACGTGATCGGGTCAGTTCACACGCAGGGGTGCACGACACTGCGCAAACACGTGGTCACGTGACGGGGGCAAAGGTCAACCGCCAGGCCTCGCGGGCCACACAACACATCAACTGGCGGGGGAGGGGCGAGGGCGTCTCCAGTATCCCGCACGCGCCCATACGAGGACGCTACAACCACCAGACACCCGCTACGTCACACACCAGACACACGTGGCCCGCCGGCCACAGCGCGGGGGGGGGGGGCGGGCGGCGCCTCCTGCCAGCCACCGGACCCCGGCGACTCTGACGACCCTCCCACTGGCAGCCAGAGCCCGCGGGGTCCTGAGCCGAGCGCGTGTCTCGGCCAGGCGTCACACAAGACCGGGCGCCGTCGAACGGTCGGTCGGCCAGGCCTGGGGTCGGATCACCCAGCCGCGCGTTGGGCGGGGCGGCCCCGGAGCCGGTCTGATCCGGTTCGAACCGGTATTGACAGCCCGCGTCCGCTCGGTGCGCTGACCTCGGCCTTCTCCACCGTGTATTTCTCTTCACGTTGTGGAGCCGGCGTCGCGCGACAGCCCACCTCATCGCACCTTACCTTATTCAAGCCGAACCGACACCCCTTCCAGACTTCACCTGACGCGTACGGCCCTCTCAGTCCCACTCACTACAGCTGACCGCTATTCATTCTGATCGCAATTCATCACCGCTATCCCAGCCATACCCTCGGCGGCGCCCGCCGCCCAGCCTCCTCTCCACATGCCTGCGGCACTCTCCGGCCGCGCTGCCATTCCGGCGAGCGGCGGCGACGGCGGCGGCGGTGGGCCGCGCCGGTCGTCTAGTGGGGCCGAGCCACGTGGAGCGTGCGCCGCCCGCTGCCGGGGCGGGGGCGGCGGTGGCAACGGGCCGCGCCGGCGTCAGCCGCAGGTCAGGTGGTGGCCCCCAGCAGATTGTTGACGAGCGTGGAGGTCAACAGGCCGTCGCGCTCCACCAGCTCCTGGAACTGCTGGATCGCCCTGCCGAGAGCAGACGGGCGGGATCTGGTCAGAGGTCAGGTCAGAGGTCAGGTCAGAGGTCAGATAAGATCAGAGGTCAGGACGCAGGGGGCCGGATCAGGCCGGGTCGCGGCAGTGGAGCGCCTGCCCGGCATAGTGTCGGCGCCGCGGTCGGGTTTACCCCGCTGTAAAGCTGACGAACTCAAACCATTACGTTACGCGTGCCCTTAAAAAAAAAAATATTTCGACCGAATCTTTTCAATGGATGTATTTCTGAGATCAGATCCAGCTAAACAGTGCTTGTGTGAGCCCTGACCACTACCATCCGATCGCGTAATTCCAGTTCAACCGCAGAGCTTGGTGTCCAGTTTAACGCCCCGCAACGCTCGGCACGGTCCGTCCTGCCCTCTGACGTCACCTGACCTTGAGCGCGGCTGCTGCCATCGGCCGCAGGCCGCATCCGTCAAGGACAAATAGCGAGCGCCTAAAGCGACTCAAACTCGCCCGCCACGGGTGGCTGGATCGGAAGGTAGGCGCTCTCACCAACTGAGCCAGTGGGACGGACAAAGCCTTACACGTTATCGTACCGCACTGCATGAAGCCAGGCAACTGAGAAGGTCACCTAAGTGGTCACAGCCGCTGCCTGCATTCGAACTCGCGGGGGAGAGGCGCAGTTATGCTGCTCTAGCGACTGCGTCGCACGAGATCACGAATCGACATTCGGACTTGCACCGAGGAGAGACTGCCGTAGGAAAAAACACCGCACGACCCAAGACCACGCGTTCCGACAAACCCCGCCATGGTCACACGACTCACAGAAACCAACTTTAGCGGTTAATCAGAACGAATATGTCGTGCGATGAAGATTAAAAGGCATGCCACTGGATTCGAAAAAAAGGCCCAGACCTAAATATCCCTGTCCCCTCCAATACCAATTCATTTGGCTCGGACTAATTTAACAAGGCTCTCATCTTCTCACTTCGCAATTTATTTTGCCGCACCATATGGACTAGGTCTTCTTCAACTGGATAATGCCGCGGCTGGAATTTGTCCACCCATTTCCCCCAGACCCCGTTCCGGCGATTGTAACAATATACAAAGCCGGGTCCACACTGCACAGGACAAAGTCGAGTGGAAACAAAAGTATGGACCCGCTTGATGACCATGAAGACGGGACATTGGCATAAGGGCACTAAACAAAGTAAAAAAAACTGTTCGCTGTCGAATACGTCTCCCAATACATGCTCTCTACATCCGTTGCCTGCAGTTAAAACTGCCCCATGCACTGCCGTGCCCCAGGCACTTCGGAAAGAGCAGGAATGCCTCCGGCACTGCTGCAGGTTCGAGCATGTACAACCTCGTTTTGGCTTCCTCGCGTTACAGTTCGATCCAGATGGTTAGATGTCTTACGACAAATCCCTTGTGAATCATTGGCAGGCCAAATCAGTCACTGGGAGCTTAACTGCCACCCTTCCTGCCTTCACCAAAGCACCCTGCGATCACCAATCGCTGTGTGACGTAATGTTTCGGCGACCACCCGGCCTCGAACCCGGGACCTCCGTCAGGGAGACGCCCCTTCTCCTCACCGGTGTATGTGCCCGGGCGAGATGACGCCGAAGTCGTACAACGAGGAGAGGTGCAGCACGAAGTTGCGGTAGAGGTTGCGGTTGACGATGGTGGCGCCGTGCTGTTCGATGAAGAGGCTAAGCGCGGCGGGCATCTGGAGGTCGCCCACGAAACTGCCGGCGCGGCGGAGACGGCGGTGAGGACGAGTCCCGGGGCGGCACCAGCGGGGGCGGGGCGGGGGAGCAACGCTTCCCGGTCAATACCCAATTAACTGATTTCAGTATGATACTTTGGCATTTCAATGGAAAGGAGCTAAAATGCTCAAGCTCCTCACTCCCCGTCCCCCCCCCCCCCCCCCCCCATACACAACATCAGCTGGTGGTGGCATCCACGGATATGCATTCACAGTACATATGTGGGAATGATATCAATGTCAGCCCCAGGTGCATTGGTATCTATAAAAACTGATACAACGCCCCGGCGACCGGCCGTGGCTGTTCTCGGAGTGCACAAGGACAGACAGTTTGGGATCATAAAGCATTGATGTCGGTTTTCAAGGGTTCAGTGAACAACCAAGTGCCTATGTCTAGAGGTGAGGGCCTTTTCATCTCGCCAACCACCAAAAATCACACAATTTTTGTCAGAACCGTAACAATTGCTGAACAAGTCTCATTACATCCCCCCCCCCCCCCCACCCCACACTGAATCCAAAACGCTCTGGCCAGGACAGAGTCTTGACCAGAGCCAGACCCTACGCCAAGTAAACTATCCGATTCCCAGCAGAAACCCAGTCTCTACCCCACAAGAGCGACCAACACCGCGCTAACACGCCACCCCCTCCCGCGACGGCGGCCGAGCCACTGACTTGTACTTCATCACGTGCAGGTTCCACATGACCATGAGCGCCTTCTCGCCCTCGTTGACGTCGCTGAACTCGTAGATCATGCGCCGCGTCTTGGTCCGCAGCCACGTGTGATCGTGCTCGCCCTGTCGGCGAATCACAGAGCGCCACGTGTCACGCGGTGACGTCACAGAATCACAGAGCGGTCGCCCGATTTCGAAATGTTGCCGTGGTTACGTGGAAAGTGACATCGAAGAAGCTGTTCTATGCAAAGTGTGGTGTTTTTCCTTTCAATACATACTGTACGCCAAACCATTCTGTCGCGCAAGATTTCCACGAATTATAATTTTGCGAGTCAGCTGACCAATGCGTTCTTGCAGATCTAACAGACGAAAGCACCAGCAATCATGATTGCTGCATATAACATACATAGCACTCACGAAGATCGCTCTTTCCTGTAAAATCTCCGAAAAAAACAGAAAGATCTCCCAGTTCAGATATTTTTGATACAGTTTCAACTTTAGAAACATACCTCGACGTACCACGAAGTATCTTGAAGTCCTAAGAGCCATGTTTACGTTTCCGGAGGTTCCCTCCGTTCCATGGAGACACCCATCAATGGCCAGCGATCTCTTCAGCTCCTGGGGAGCGCGCAGATCCCCAGAGTCTGCTTCCAAGGCCAGAAGGCACCGCTAGATCCCCCGGGCTCTGGGGTACGCCTTACTACCCACGGAGGTCCCATTACCTCTCTGGAGGGCCCATCAGACCCCAGAGACCCTCTCACGGGAGGAGTCCACCCCGGAGGCACCAGTAGACCCCGGGGCTCCCTCTGCGGGGAGGAGGCCGGCCGAGGCGTCGCCGGTGGCGCCCCCTCACCTCCGAGTCGTAGGCCAGCTCGGCCGGCGGGATGGCCAGGTTGGTGGCCGTCCGGTGATACATCCGGTTGTGGCCGGTCACGAACGGCCGCATCCGCTCCTCCGTCTCACTCTGAGGACCGGTCACGACAGGTCAGGTCAGGTCACGACAGGTCGGGTCAGGTCACGGCAGGTCAGGTCACGACAGGACAGGTCATGTCACGGCAGGTCAGGTCAGGTCACGACAGGCCATCACAGAGCGCATCTGGAGGCTGCAAACCGGGCCACGTTTAAACAATGAGGCCAGCAATAACACCCTCCGTCTCATCCCACAGGTTATGACAGCACAGATAAGTCCAGGTCAGATCAAGTCAGGTCCAGTTAGGGCGGCGCAAACCAAGTCGGGTTAGCCACGGCAAGGCCGGACCAGCAGAGGACGACAAACATCCACACCACTCTCCACATCAATCTGAGGTCACCTAGAGGGCCAGGACGAGCCTCAGCACATCCGATCAGTGTGGGTCAGACCACGTCAGAATACGGTCAAGGTCAACATGACCACGTGAAAGGTAACCGCGGCGCTCCGTCTTGCTACGACGTTCCAGCACATCGCAGGTTAAGTCACGGCGGCGTGGCTTAACAAGTGGCTTGACAAGTAGGCCATCACTGAGTTTGTACACAACACCGACCGTTCCCACGGCAGCCGGTTTTGGTCGCAGCTCCAAGGACCACCGGGCGCGTCTCTCAGTGTCCTCATGCTACTCCTGCTGCGCGAACGTTCCACCACCTCCTCCTACTCCAATAATTCTCCGCAGTCAGCCAGCCCCCTTCTAACATGCTCGTCCTGTTATCCCCCCCTTCGCCCCCCCCCCCCCCCACACACACATACCCCTGCTTTCCTCCGCCCTGCCCCCTCGCCCGCTCACCTGCTGGAACTCGGCCAGGCTGGGCTTCTGACGGCGCGGCCGGCACACCAGCACGCTGGTGGAGGGCGTGCGGCGGCCGGGCCCCGAGCGGCCCGTCGGCGGCCGCGCCAGGTCCAGCGGGTTGCCCGCGTACGAGCTGTCGTACGACTCGTTCAGCGACACGTCGATGCGCGCGCCGCGTGCGAACGGCTGCAGCGGGAGGCATGGGTCAGAGCTGGGGTGGGAGGCAGGGGTCAGAGCTGGGGTGGGGGGCACGGGTCAGAGCCGAGGTGGGAGGCAGGGGTCAGAGCTGGGGTGGAAGGCAAGGGGCACAGCTGGGGTGGGAGGCAAGGGTCAGAGCCGGGGTGGCGGGGGGGGGGGGGGGGGCACGGGCCAGCGCTGGGATGGGAGGCAAGGGTCAGAGCTACGGTGGAAGGCACGGGTCAGAGCTGGGGTGGGGGGTACGGGTCAGAGCCGAGGTGGGAGGCACGGGTCAGAGCTAGGGTGGGGGGCACGGGTCAGAGCTGGGGTGGGAGGCACGGGTCAGAGCTGGGGTGGGGGGTACGGGCCAGAGCTGAGGTGGGAGGCATGGGTCAGAGCCGAGGCAGGAGGCACGGGTCAGAGCTAGGGTGGGAGGTGCGGGTCAGAGCTGGGATGGGAGGCACGGATTAGTTGTTGCAGAGGGCTGGAGCCAGCGACGGCGGCGACAAAGGGGGGGGGGGGGGAGGGGGGCAAGGGGATGGGATTCCAGCATAGGTGATTTTCTGGGCTGTTTGTTGACGTGCTTATTAACGCCACTAGAGTCGCGGCTTCAAGCGTTTGCAAGCCGAGGCCTGAGGTGCAATACCCCCCCCCCCCGCACAGGTTAGCGAGAGCGTCCTAGGGGGGGGGGCTATATCGGCGCAAGACAACTGGGTGGACAGGCGGAAGGTGGACGACCGTGAAGGGCTCACACCGGTTAGTGGACGGCGAACGCCCGCTGCAAGCCACGACCAACATTCCCAAGTTGCTGGTCACACATGACCAGCCCTTCAAAATGCACAGGTTACGGCCGGCGCTTTCCTGCCATCCGGCTATGCTCCCACACACATCCACAAACGACACAGACACCCTTCTACGCTAGCTTGGGCCATCTTCATCTCCATCATCTTCGTGATCCCCATACCAATAGCCCCCTGTCGGCAGTCCAGTGACTGCTTCCACCCCACAAGCCCATGCCGCTGCCGCCGCCGCCGCCAGGTGGCCCCGTACCGCGTAGCAGGTGAAGCGGACATGGCACAGCCAGCGCCAGGTGGCCCCCTACCGTGTAGCAGGTGAAGCGGGTATAACACAGCCGCCGCCGGATAGCCCCCTACCGTGTAGCAGAAGGTGAAGCGCGCGTGACACAGCTGCAGGTGCTTCAGCAGCGGGTACAGCTTGTGGCAGTTGAGCGAGCACCAGGGGCAGAGCAGGTCCTGGCGCGCCTCCGTCTGCTGGCGCGACGCCGGCCCGTAGATGAACTGGTAGAGGATGAGCGGCGGGGGCGGCGGCGAGGCCGGCTCCACGCCCGTCGGCTTCTCCTTGTCCACCGACCAGCTCTCGCCTGTCGGCCGGGCGGCGGCGTGACGACCGGCGCCACGGGGCTGGTGCGGCTGTCCGCGATTTCGTTCACAGTGCTCATGGGGTCCGATCACGTCCGCACCGAAGGTGGGAGTAGATGAGAAGCGGTGCAGAGGCTTGAGACCGGTGGCGACCCCGCGCCAAATGGTCTGCCGCCGTCCCCGGTTACGAGTACGACCGATGGCGGAGGCGCAACACAAAGCAACGGTGGATGATAGACACTCTGAAGAAGCAGAGACAACGAAAGAAGAACTGAGAAAGTTGGGGTGTGGGGGAAAGGGGGCGGAACACCTAGGAACGGTGGATAATAGACGTTCTGAAGACGCAGAGACGACAACAGACTAACTGAAAGAGTTGGGCGGCGGAAAACCCAGGACGAGTAGAGGACAGGCATACTGAAGAAGCAGAGACCGTCTCGAGACACGACGTCGGACCTAGCGGCTATGTAGACTCCGCAGCCTCCGCGTTAAAGGGACGCGTCTAGATCCGATGAAGGGTACGACGCAGCAAACATTACGTCACAGAGATGAGTCGAGGGAAGCATGTTCAAGTTGCAATTCAATATTCGCTCCTTGTGAAGCAACTGTAGCATCCGGCCTCTCGTGTCTCGTTCATCTCCAGCATGATCCTGCACTCCCGAGTTTTTCTGGCTTTGATTGACAGCGACGCGACGTCACGGCAACACAATCATGCGATCACCTGCTCCTTCACTCACGGCTATTGGCGCTGCTGCTCGACTCTTCCTTTTTGCTCCGCCCCCTCTTGGTGCCGGCCGCCATCTGATTGGTGTCTCGCGGCTGCAGTGGGCGGGGCCTCTCGACGGTCGGCTGCGGCATCTGATTGGTCCAGGCCAACCGCAGCTTCAGCGTGGGAGCTGACTGGAATGAGTCGAGTGGTACGGGAGCCTGCAACAGGCAGGAAGGTGTCACGTTACGTGGTGCAGGAGCCTGCAACAGGCAGGGAAGCGTCACGTCACGTGGCGCGAAAACCTGCAACAGGCGGAGAGGCGTCACGCCACGTGGTGCGGGAGCCTGTAACACACAGGGAAGTGGCACGTCACGTGATACGGGATTGACACTTCTCTGCATCGCCACCGCAAACCCTCCCAACTTCCGCAGGCCCCACCTCAAAACGGCTCTCACGCAACCCTCCCCAGCGCAAAACACCCGGCACCCTCCCATCCGCATCTCCCACCCCCTCTCCTGTCTCCTGGACGAGCTCCACCCCGTCCGCACCCTCCCCAGCGGACCTTGCCGTCGTCGAAGCTCTCCCAGGAGGTCTTGCGCGGGCTGCCGGCGCCGGCGCGCGTCTCGCGGGCCGGCGGCTCCTCGGCCGTCAGCAGCACGTCGTACTCGCCGTCCGAGAGCAGGCAGCGGCCGGCGCGATCCGTCACCGCCAGCTCGGCGCGCAGCTGCTCCGACGACGACGCCGCCGCCGCGGACGCGGACGACGAGGCGCGCCCCACCTTGCGCCGCTTCGGGTTCGGCTCTGTCGGGCGGGGAGGGGTCAGCGAAGCGGCGGCGATTTGCTGGGAGCTGTACATCGTCGTGTGGTCTCTGTGCGGAACGTCGGTGGCTCACGTGGGCTGAGGCGGGTGTGATGACGCACACCGGTGATGATGATGATTGGGGTTTTAGGGCGCGTCGACTTCTACGGTCATTTTGCGCCCATAACAGCTAAGTGTTTACCGTGGTGTGTAAATGGCTGTGAATCCTACGTTTCTCAAAAATGAAAACAGCTGTCCGGTGCCAAGCATGCGAGAATCATCACCAATAAGGTCTGAAAAGGTAAGACCTGACGCATCTCGTCCGAAGTAAAGTGCCCGCTCTTCTCTGAACTGTGGGCGAGAGTGAATAACGTGCCGAACCGTAAGTGGCGCATCACAGCGAGGACATTTAGGGCGTTCTTCACCGCACAAAAGGTAGCTATGTGTTGCGTGCGTGTGGCCAATTCGTAATCTGCTCAGGGTTACTTCTTCGCGTCTCAATTTACGTGAACTTGAAGACCATGGACCCAGTTGTGGCTGGGGCTCACTCACCCTCGTTCTCCCGGTTGCCGGGCAAGGGAAACACGCGCACCGCCAGCACGAACGTCTTTGGGCCGCTGCCGTTCTGCGTGGAGAAGCTGCAACAGCGGCGGCCGACGTCACAAGTCAGACCTCATGCAGCAATCGATAGATGGCACCACCCACAGGTCCAGCGTATTTTCGCAAGGACAACGCGATGTTGAACAATCGGCATGTGAAAAGTAGACAACACCACATCGAAGCAAAGCAACTCTTGAACATGTGAGGCCTGGCCATGATGGGGATTTACTTCATTCACGGCACGTGCCCGATATTCGCATGGGTTGGATGGATATCCATGACGTCATCCCAAAGGAACGAGGAGCACATCGTCAGGCCTTTTTCCGGAGCGCTGGAAGTTTCGGTGTTTACATTGGCGCTCAGCGGTCGTGGTGCGACCAGTCAGGCCCTAAAAATAAATGACATCGTATGGACACTGCCACCCGAGTGATACAAGCTGAGATAATTTTGCTGCAGCATAATCGTCCAACACTACCAGGAATTTTGAACTGCTTCGTGACTTTGATCCAACCCGCTTACACTCCAAATGACAACCCTGACACTGACACTTTACCTGACACACCTGGCACCGATACCCCACGTCACACTTCGCCGCCCGACTCTGTCCGCTGACAGCAGCGCCACCCAGCGGCCACCTGACCCGACCCGTCCCACCACTTCCCAGCGTGCCCGAATGACCGCAACCCTGGTCACCGGACCCGCCAGTGGATCACGTGGTCCTACTGGCCGTCCGTCAGCCGCGGTGACCGGGGTCAGCGGTGACCGGGGTGAGCGGTGACCGGGGTCAGCGGTGACCGGGATCAGCAGTGACAGGGGTCAGCGGCGACCGGGGTCAGCGGGGTCAGCTGCGACTGGGGTCAGCGGTGACCGGGGTCCACGGTGACCGGGGTCAGCGGTGACTGGGGTCAGCGATGACCGGGGTCAGCGGTGACCGGGGTCCACGGTGACCGGGGTCAGCGGCGACTGGGGTCAGCGATGACCGGGGTCAGCGGCGACCGGGGTCAGCGGCGACAGGGGTCAGCGGCGACCGAGGTCAGCGGTGACCGGGGTCAACAGTGACGAGCGTACCTCTCGGCTGGTATGCAGGAGGTGGGCACAGTGGGCGGCGCCGACGCCTCGCTGGGGTTCACCACCACCTCGTTGGTGCCGAACGACGTCTGAAACCGGGGTCACTGGGTCACCAGAGGTCACACCACGGGCCACGAGACATCGCAACGTCCGAAACGGAGACACATGGTGATCAGACATCAGACATCGGACATCAGACATCACGACGAGCCGGTGTCAATCTACAAGTGCTTAGAACCGGGACATGAGGCCATCAGAGGTCACCAGTGGTGGGTGCTGAACGCTGAATCCCGGTCATGCAACCACCGGCGTTCACGACAACCTACGGCTGAGTGGTGCTGGAAAAAGGCGGATGAAAGGCGACCAGTTGCACCCACAGCGTGCAACTCAATGCCATAGTGATGATGATAGCGTACCGTTAGATAATCAACGTATCGCCATACATATGTCTGGGGTCAATACTGCAAGGGTCACAACGGTAGAGGACACCGGTAAGTCAGGCTCAAGGCTGAGGCGAACAGGGCGGGCACTCCTTCACACCCGCGTGAGTGTTGGCGCCAACACGTGCTCCCCCAATGTCGCAATGAACTGCTGGGGAGCACTCCAGCAGTGTCCCTGTGATCAGTCGCGCCGCAAGTATGACCCGGCTAGAACGAGGCGTGACAGAGAGCAGGCGAACAGGTCCGGCCCTCCCGCGTCCAGCGAAGATGTCAGAGCACAGCAGGCGCTGTGCTATAATCAGCTCCCCGGGGAGGCCGGTCAGGCCAGTGAAGGCCGGATATCAACGGACAGCACTAGCGCCAACTTTCGTAGACATGCACCACCACCTTTTGCAACGCGCTAGTCTTCCCTTCGGCAGAGAGCAGTTCATCCAGCCCACGAGCGACTTCCAAAGCAGGTCGCGAGGTCAAAGCCCGCACGCTGTCGTTTCACGGCCCAAACCGTACAAAGCGCACACCCCGCCAGCAGCCGTCTACTGACCGTGACGACCGGCGCGGCGCCCTCCTTGCGCCGCTTGTGGCACAGCTTCTTCAGCGTCGTCTCCACGCGCACGGAGGCGGGCGGCGAGTCATCTGCGGCAGCCGGGAGGCAGGGTCAGGGTCAGGGTCAGGGTCAGGGTCAGGGTCAGGGTCAGGGTCAGGGGCAGGGTCAGGGTCAGAGTCAGAGTCAGGGTCAGTCAGAGTCAGGGTCATGATCAGAGTCAGGGTCAGAGTCAGAGTCAGAGTAAGGGTCAGGGTCAAGGTCAGAGTCAGGGTCAGAGTCAGGGTCAGGGTCAGGGTCAGGGTCAGGGTCAGGGCCAGAGTCAGCCGCGGAGAACACTCAGGCGAGCCCCGCTTCCCCCCCTCTCCCCCCCCCCAGGTGGGACAGGTGACAATGCGCGGGTCACGCGCGGCCACCAGCAGAGGGCGTTGTCGTCATTTCACGGCGCACCCAGCTGCTGAGACTATACTAGACCTGAGACTAGACCGTGGGGAATCGAATCCCGTTTCTTTGGTTCCCCAGTCGCGCAGTTAACCACTACGTGATCGGCGCCATCCGAGGTGGGACCTGCACGAAACCAGCTGGGAGAGGAGGGGGACCACGGTGCGGGACACCACGTCCACCCTCTCTGAACTGTATCCGTAGGCCCAACGGTAAAGTGCAGGGCCATTGGAGCGTTGGGGAAGGGGAGGGGGAGAGGAGGCACGTCCGGTCGCAAAAAAAAAACATGGCGAATTCAGCCCACCGTCATTATGCACTGCACCAAATCGTTTGACCCGGGCCCGCGGCAGGGTACGCGGCCGGCGAGCTCCTACCCATGCGTGAACCAAACGCTTTTGCACTAACTGCGGGCAGGCTCCAGGTTGTATGAAAGTGTTTTGCTAATGACCCTGGCAGCTGCACTTTGCTAATGACAAATACTCAGCAGACACCGAAGCTTTTGTCTAGGTTTGCGCCGCATAACACTATCACCTCTGTGCTGAGCACCTGTTGCCCGCCTGCATAATGGAAGCCGACCATCAAACATCCGACAAGGCTTCCATAGTTCACGTCTAGGCTAATGCATGGACGCTCGGTTCTAGGGAACGGCGATAACCGTGCTGGTTCCAGCAGAAAAAAAGGTGAGCTAGACGACAGCTTTATCAGCAACTGTGACAGTGGAATCGCTTCATAACTTCAGTGAATGGTCTTGATAACAGTTCAGTGGTCGTGCAGTGCCGTTTGCCCAGCTAGGACAACTCCAGAGCCATCCACTGAACATACGTATATCCCCACCGAAGGTTGTTGTTACCGCACCGTCCATTTTTTCGTGGCATCCTCCGTCAGGCAGCAGCTCCAGGTCTCTGCGCCACAAAGGGACCCTTGGCCCAGCCAAAGCACCGTAGGCACGGTAACTGAAGTCGAACTGGTAGTAACCGAAACCGTGGCAATCAAAACCGTAGTGACAGAAGGCGTCACAACCAAAACCAACGCCGTGGTAGCCGAAAGTAAAACCGTAGTGTCCCAAACACGACCGCACCGCGGCTGTCCAGAGCCTCCCCTCCCCCGATCGTGTGAAGCATCACTCGACGGGGCGATGATGGTTTGGTCTTTGGGGTGCGCCGACCGCGCTGGTCCTGTGGCACCCATCCTCGTCGACTAAACACAGCACCCGGCCATCCTTCACTTCACGCGCCACCGGCGAACACCGTCTGCGACGACCTTGCTACTTGGTTACAAACTCGCCGGCGCAAATAGCAGCCGCCGCTATAGACCGAGGCAGCTTGTGCCGTGTGATCGAACGCGCGCACAAACACCATCCCGCGTCTAATGCAGGTAACGGCCCACCGTTCCGAAAGAATGCATGATTGAATGAGACTGCGGCGCCGCCTCCATGAGCGCGCCGCCGTGTTTACACGGCTACTTGAACGCCATTACACGGCTGTATGAGCGCCATAACGCGGCTGAGCTGAATGCTACATGACTACCGGCGCCGACCCATCGCCGGCCGGGCGCCGGACAATGAGACGCACCGGTGAGCGGACGGCGCAGTTTGCCGATATCGGCGCTCACCGGCCGTCAATGCGGCGCCGCTGCAGCGGCTGGTTCGCGGCTCGGTCACCAGACGCGGCGGCCGCAGGTTGTGGGTGGCGCGGCTCGGGGGCGCTGCGAGGGCGCAAACCGGCCGCCCCGCCGTCGCCGGGCAGGTGCCGTGTCGTCCCGGCCGGGGACGACGGCGAAGGTGAGGAGGGGGAAAGGAGGGCCAGCTCGGTATGCCGGAGGAGACGCGTGCCTGCCGCGCCGCTGACCCGGCTTAGGGCCCTGACCCCGGAACTCTGACCTGACCCGTCTCAGGGCCCTGACCTCCTGAGCTCTGACCTGACCCGTCTCAGGGCCCACCCCTGAACCGTCCTGACCCGTCTCAGGGCCCTGAGTCTTGACCTGGCCCGTGTCGGTGCCCTGACCTCTGACCTGACGCATTCCAGGGTACTGACCCTTGACCTAACCCGCTGCTCACGGCCGCGTGACGCGAAGCCGAATTCGGATATCAGAGTGGAACTGCTAGCCGCCATGGAGCCCTTGTATCTGTGACAACCTGAAGCTGCATCTGTGTACCCCCATCCGTGGCTGCTGCAAGTTACACAGCTTTCCGGGAGCTTAGTGAAAACCCAACCGACGAGCATCGGCTAGCAGTGCTGCGACAACGGAATCTGCGTAGAGCCTCTCACAAGTCAGGGAAGAGAACGGCCGTGACACCCAGTTCTGCAGCTGGTGTTCCGAATAGCCAATTATCTGCCAAATGTCACCAGCGCGCAGACCCTTTTTAGAACCTTTTTGAAGATCGTCAAGAGTGCACACCTTTAGGCAATGATCCTACATCCAGCAAAGTGCTGCCCATCGACCAGAATAGTGTGATAGTAAGACCTCGCCTCCGCCTTGCCTCCCCAAACTGACTGCCCAACTCCACATCGTCGGAGCCCAAACCACACGCATCGCCCCACAACCCACGGACCAATCCCACGGGCTCGCCGGTGTGATGAAGGTGCAGATCGCGTGCCCGGGCGCCAGCTGGCCGCCGCCGCCGCCGCCGCCGCCGGGCCGTGCAGCCTCCCTCCTGGGACGGCTGACCGGCCGCTGGCCGCGGTGGCCGCGCGACCGCCGCGACGCGCTCCTCCTCGCCGCCACCGCGCTCACCGCCGCTGTCAAGCTGTCGGCCGTCGTAGGGCTGTCGCTCGCTTGCTGGGGCCAGGCGGCACGCTACGCCGCCGAGCCGGTGGCCATGGAGATCTCTGACGAACCGAGCGCATTCCCGGGGCTGACGCTGTGCCCGCGCCGGTCGCACGCCGCCGTATACAACGCCAGTCTGGCGCTGCTGCGGCGCGGGGACATCACCGACGCCGAATTCCTGCGCCGCACGCGGCCCGACCCGTCGCGCCTGCTCCGGTCGTGCGCGCGCTGCAGTGTGAACGCCAGCCACGTGACCGGCGTGCATCTCGAGCCGATGCTCTGGGTCGACGACGAGACGCTGCTGCCACAGTGCGTGGACCTGGAGCCGCGGCCGCCGCCGCCCTGGCCACGCTACCAGCCGTTCTCTGTGCAGCTTCGGCTGGCCGTGGCGGCGGCGCCGGGCGCCGGCTGGACGTACCAGCTGTACGCCCGGCCGCCCGGCGAGCGTGCCACGCTCCACCACAGCGTCTACAGCCTGGGCGAGCCCGCCAGCGCCAGCGTGCTGCTCACGCCGGGACACGTCGTCTCGTTGCACGTGACGGCGCGCAGCGTGCTCCGCGTCAGCCGGCGCGCGGAGCGCTGCAGCGACGAGCCGCGCGCCACCTGGCAGCGGCGCTTCCGGCACTGCGTGCAGGCGGCGCTGGCGACGGCCGCCGGCTGCCGTGCCGCCTGGATGGACGCGCCGCTGGCGCTGCCCGCCTGCGCGCTCGGCTCGCAGGCGGCGCTGCGCGCGGCGGCCGGCCGGCAGCGCTGGCGACGCCGGCTGGCGGCGCGTTGCCAGGACACGCCGCCCTGCCTCTGGCGCCAGTACCGGGTGGCGGCGCCGCCACTGGACGTGCCAATGGCGGCGCCTGACCGTATCCAGGTGGACATCACGGCCGACTCGCTGGCCGAGTCGCGGCGGGAGCGGCTTGCCGTCAGCGTCGGCGATCTCGCCTCGGCGATCGGCGGCCTCGTCGGCCTCTTCGTCGGCGTGTCCGTGTTCTCGGCGCTCGACGCCGCGCTCGCCGTCGCCCGACGCGGACTGACGTCACCGTAACGTCACACGGCGGCGGCGGCGGCGGCGACGGCGCTACCGCTCTCACGCTGCACGGGCGTGCTCCCGACGTCCCGCGGGACGACAGCCGGCGCCGGACGGAGCGTTCGATCTAGTGACGTCGCTCCGACGTCTGCGTGACGTCAGCGGACCGCCTTCGTCGGGGCGCGCACGGAACGTACGTCACAGCGCTGACGTCACGATGACGACACCGTAGGCGGCGGAACAAGCGGGGGCAGCCAGGAAGCCGCCGCCGGATGTCTCGCCCACGTGTGTTGGGAGCCAGCACCGGCGAGAGCCTTCACCGCTGGCCAGGATCAGCCGCTCTGGCGCCCAAAGAAACGGATGCCTCAAAAGCGAGAGCAAAGCGCGCCACACGCATCGGTGAAATACACAAAACACAATGTACCGCTTTGTGGCCGCGAAGCGCTGATCGTATCCAAGAATCGCTTAAGCTTACGTGCGGGAAAAATGTCTAGTTTGAACTGGGCCGTCTCTTGCAGGAAAGCAACCGTTTCGTGGGCCTTTTGGTGCAGCAACGTCATGACTACAGAGGACATTTTTAGTTCCAAAGACCAGAGTTTTCAAGATACGGCGGGCGAGTGGAATTTCTCATCGTGCAACCGGTTGTGTATATTATTGCGTACACTCAAGTGGCCCTGCGCAATAAGCGAAAGTGTACCTATTTTACAACCCAGACATCAGCTGAAGGAAAGCCACAGTGCTTTGAAAGGCTACGCCATATGGGCGGTGACAGCGTCCCTATCGTGAACATCTGTCCACCTGTTTGCACACACCTGCCGCATGCCCTTACAGGCGGTTCCAGGCGTGGGAGGTGCTGTAGAAAACCAACCTTATTCGGTGAAAGATTAAATAAACGGATTACAACGTGTCGATGCAGGGTTGCCTGGAAAGCGGGGTAACAGGATGAAGCGCCGACCCCCATTCCGATTTTCCTATCGTTTGTTATTGCGCTGACGGCCACTGGTGCATGCGGTCACTGACGGGCTCCCCTGCTCGTCTGTTAACGGACAAACGGCCCGGAGCACATCAGCGCCGTCAATAGGTACCTCAGGGCCGCCGAAATAGCTTCGGCTCCATCACAAGATGCCCGTTTCTGGACGCGATCCTCTCAGCGGCTCGTACTGGACGTTATGTGGTTGTCGTTGGGGCTTAACGACGCACTCAGCTGCTGAGGCTACATGGCGTCGCCTGCCTTTCATCCTGGCAGGAAGGGCGGGCACCGCGGGGAATCGAACCTCGTACCTCTGGTTTGTACTGGACGTAATGAAACGGACAAATGCAGCGCGAGAACCTGCGGAGCCAAAGGTGATAAGCACGTGTTTTGCGGTACTCCGAGCCCGCTCTGGGCATTTCATTTTTCCTTGCTGCTGCAATAGCAAGGTGTGACGTAGTACAAGCCAGCCGCGTCACGACGTTCTCAGGAAGCGATCTGCACAGCTGAGCACAAATCACCTTCCAAGGACCCCACATCATCTGCAGCTTCCGCGAATGCGAAGGCGGTTTAGTTACACTTCAACAGCCCTTACGGATTTTTTAGCGTGGCTCTGTTTCATTGCGGCTTTTAGAGCTGCTTTTTAGCCAACTTCGCTGTATTCCGCCGTGTTTGGGGCACCAATACGCAACAATAAATAATGCCACCGTCCAGCTTCTGCGATTCACAGTGGTGGAAGCGTTTGCTGCCAGCACAGGTCTTACGTCATCCCTCTCCACTCATTCCACCCCACAAGATACGTTCATACTTCGTCAGATTCGCTGCCAGCCGCTGACAGCAACGAGAGGCGACCATTCAGATCCGGCCATGGCGATTCTTGCATCTGCTCGCCATCCAAGCCACCGCTTTGCGACGGTTCGAAGCGACCGTGTGAGATGAATTTTTAAGCCATGCTTTGCACAGCACGTCCCACATTAGTGCTCATCAGTGACGGTTCCTACGGTGTGCACGGATGGCAACGACGGTTTTTGGTGGATTCACGTACTTTGCAAGATCTCAATTTCCACAGTCTTTAACATCTTAATTATGGTTGAAACTCGTCTCAAACAGCCCTTAGTAACTCCCCCGCTGCTTTTAGTCCTTAAGCAGGATGTTTCAAAACATAGCTTATGGGGGCGGCTGGGCGAACGTCACCGCCGGGGCGGGCGAACGTCACCGCCAGGCGCGGGCGAACGTCACCGCCGGGGCGCGGACGAACGTCACCGCCGGGCGCAGGTCGAACGTCACCGCACGGGCGCGCGGGCCGAACGTCACCACCGGGGCGCGGGCGGGGCCGGACCGTCAGCCGCCGGGGCGCGGGCCCCGGGGGAAAAGCGTCACCGCCGGGCGCGGTACGAACGTCACCGCCGGGGGCGCGGACCGACGCTAACCGCCGGGCGCGGGCGAACGTCACCGCGGGCGCGGGCGAACGTTACAGCCGGGCAGGCGAACGTCACGCCGTGCGCAGGTGAACGCATTCACCGCCGGCGCGGGCGAGCGGGCGTACCTTTGCTAACGTAGAAGCCGATGTGTGAGATGGTCAGATACTGTCCTGGCGTGCAGTGGGCCAGGTCGTGCTGTTTCTTCTCCATCTGCGGACGGCGGACGGCACGCGTGACCTCGGGTCAGTCGGGACGGTGGCCGCAGCCGTCGGAGCGCTCTCACGTGACAAAAACGACGCCGGTCGGGCCGGCAGAACGGAGCCGCGCGCCAGTTACGCGCAGGACCCTTCCCTCGTGATGGCGCGACGTGGAGCGAATGATGATGATTTCGGCTCTCAGACGCAATGAACCTAGTCTTTTGATACCCATTATGCCTACTATGAATGCCAGACAAAAGCAATAACCATCCACCATGAGAAAGAGCTTACAGCATCCATCTGAGTCAGAAATATTTACTCTGTGAGGACACATATTGCATGATGCATGTCAGCAGGTACACGAAGAACCACTGATGTTTTAATAACAACATTATGAAGTTTATCCTTTATTTCTATTTTCATGACAATGATGACTTAAGTTTTAGGGGACACCACTTCAGCAGTTATTCTGCACCCATTTCATTTTTTATTTTTGACTTTCAAAATGCTGATTAATGCCACCCAACCATCACTCAATCATCGCTCAGTTTGCTGCTTTATCACAAATCATGTCAGTGAGTTAGTAAAAGTTATGTACACCACAGCACAGGGACTTGAATGATATAAATGTCTGTGTGGGTTGCAGCCCATCTTACCATGGATAAAAGTGTGTCCACATGGGTCAGCTTGGACTTCAACTTTTTCCTGGATGCTCTTTTCATGTAGATCAGGTTTCTGTGCAGAAAAAGTGGCTGAAACAGGTAACCCCATTAGGACACATGCATAATATGGACTATCCTAAGTCATTCAAAACATTGGTAACATAGTGAAGTCCTTTACTGCAAGTACAGGTGAGATATTGGGGATGGATTGGAGACCCTAAAGGTCAAGATTTGTTGGCAGTTTGCTGATAGCCTAATGGCTACTTTTCAGTCAGCATAAGCTACCAAAAGAAATGCACCAAAAGAAAGCATTAGTCACGTACACACTAATATTCCTATCCCAAATTATACACAAGAGTCGCAGGATCATTTACTTACCGAAACAAGGGTTCGAGCCCGTAGATACCTGTATATTTGGGTTGGCTCTGAAAGAAACAGATAATTGTCACACAATGCTTGAAACTGTTATGTGCTGTGGAATTAGGACACAATGCTGTTCAGGCCTATTTGTACTCCAGGCCATATTCCAGCTGGCTGCAGCATATTCATACCCCAGTCTCATTTCAAAATAAAACTGCTTTACTGCATGTCTGTACTGTGGTGCCCACCATCTCTATTGATCTGAAATGTTGGCATTTTTTAGGCTGAGTGTTTGATCAGCCAGCTGAGCATGAGCAAGTCCCCCACTGCTGTAGCAAGAAAAAGGGGTAAGGATGGGAATAGGGTTAGGGGTAAGGTATGAGCATAGGGGTAGGGTAGAAGTCTGGGTATGGGTCGGCACAAGGATAGGAGTATAGAGAGGGGTAGGAGTAGCAGTAAGAGTAGGAGCAGGAGTAGGAGAAGGAGTAGGAGTAGAAGAAGGAGCAGGAGTAGGAGTAGGAGCAGGAGTAGGAGTAGGAGCAGGAGTAGGAGTAGGAATAGGAGTGGGGGGTAGAAGTAGGGGTAGGCTAAGCTAGGTTATGTCATGTTATGTTATGCTAAATGCCATGTTAAATCCCACTGAAACTGTCAGCCTTATTAGGACAAAAATGTTATTTGCTATTAGTGCTCAGGACAAAATTGGATGCTGTCACTGGCATCATACATGATATGGCTGTGGTGGCTCTCAATTGGTGGATGTGTAGTATGCTGCCAATATTGCTTTGCTTTGATTGTTATGCAATAATTTGAGACAGGATGGTATGGTTTGGTATGCAACCATTATGGGTGTGGTATGCTGAGGCAGGAGTGCACAGATTATCTTAAAAAACAATACTAACTTGTTCCTGATAATTTGTGAGTAAGTTTTTGCTACAATCATTACCACAATATTACAATAGCCAGGCCTAATGTCCACAGATCACATATGTGACAATAATATCACATTTGCTTGACATGAGGATGTGCCTAAGACACTGGTCCATTTGGTTACAAATCATGCCAGCCAGTTAAACCAAAGTAGTATGTGGAAAGTAGTGACAGCACACTGTAGCAGCCTTCAGTAAATCAATGCTATTTTCAAAATTCATGCTTGTAGAGTTAACTGATTTCATAGATATCTGCCAATTTTACTTCACATTCACCACCCATGAGCAAAATTCCATCGCCATCTGTGGAGCCTCATCAATCATGATGTGCTATACCAAACAATCTCTATCACATGCTTGACTGATTCTAATCAACAAAAGGACATCACTCCAGTCATAACCCTTTATTGTATCTTGTTCATGTTTTACATTGTCAGATCGCACAATGCTACCTTGAATAACCTTATTCCCTCGCCATTGCATTGTACCCGCAGCATTAGAACGGACCCCCATAACAAAGGCATGCGCCACTAACGTCAAAAAAACACTTACTTTCAAATGCCTGGAGGAACATCTCGTGATCCTGCTTCAACTGATCTGTGGAAATTGTCCTTCCATTTTCTTCTTCACGATCGCGCTTTTTGGGGGCCATTTTCTGAACAGATACGCGATACAACAAGAGTGCACCAACGCACCCCCGCCGACGCCCACCACTTCCGCCCGCGAGAACCGGACGTAGAGTCCCGCGCTTATGGATGCTTGAGTGCTGCCGCAAGCACGCTGTTATTGAGCCACTCCCCTGCTGCCAGATTTGTAGCGCGCTTTAGTTCCGCTGCCAAATTGAGAAAAAACCGTCGTTCTGCCGATAAGTCATAGTGCATCCATGAACCGCAGGTGTGCTTAGCCCACTATTGGCACGCATCATAGCGACAAATTCATAGAGAATCCGTGAAAGTCCGTCTGGTCTAAAGTCCATACACTTTTGGAACTTATATGACTTTTGAGCAGGATAATGCTCGAGTCAGGTTGAACTGTGTACTGCTGCTTCTGAGCTCTGCTCTGGCCCACCCAGATGCGCGGATTTTGGTTGTAACGACTGTGAATTGGGGTATTTAACTCTGCCTTACCAGACAAGGCGATTTGACACCTGATCTTAGCTTTTCAACTCGGAGTGATTTCTCATCCGACTCCTGCTGTCTATAAGCAATAAAACCGACTATAATGCGGATTTACAAATGTCTAGATGTGGAGCTGCCACGACGCCACTTAATATTATACACAGGAGTGCAGTTTCCTATTCACTGGGGGATGGTGAGGCGTCAGCCCCCTGACCAGGAATGAGACGATACAGATCTGCACCGCTTCACTGCTGCTTTCCGTCCGCGATGCGCCACGAGCATGACAAGGGGCTGCGTGACGTGCATTTGATAAATACCAATAATTCATTGTCAGAGCTTTCATCCGGAGACGAATCAAACACCATCAACTGCCAATGCAAATTTGGTTGATAAATGGCAGGGTCCTACCAAAAACCTTTATCGCTTTGCATTAAGAACTGCATCAATTCCTCTTCCAAAAAAGTTCGACTTTCAAACCCGACAGGTCCCAACAACCTGAGACATTTCCACATGTGTGCTTGGCCGTCACCTATAACTTAAGAGTTAAAGGCCTTTCCAGCTTATATCAAGAAGATAACGCCGCCCTTCACGCATAAACCTAACATTTTTTCTCAGTAACAGCCTGTAATCTTCCGACTCATCACATCTACGATAGTACAGGTAAGTGGAGCCAGCGTCGATGCGTTAACCACGAACGCGGCACAAAACCGTCACAATCTAGTGCATATATATATTTTCGAATAGCAGAACAACATACAACCCATTCATTCCATTGAAAATGCCACTTACAAAGGACAGCCGGTTCACAAACACTATAAATTGCACCTGCTGTCGCCGAACGCGCACCGGGTCACCGGCCGGGGCTCGGCTCGGGTGACCTGAGGTCACTATACGGCGACTCCTCCACCAGTGTCAGCAAGCGGAGCCGCGCGCTGCGCCGGCGGCCGCCCTCGGGCGTGCGGGTCTGCGCGCGCGGCCGCGCCCGCCTGTCGCCGAACACGCCCCCGGCCGCGGCGGACACCCGTCTTCTGAACGTCCGCAGCGCGTCCCCCGACGGACTCCCAGTGACGTCATCGACGACGTCAAGGTCGGGACTCAGCACGGTCAGTCGGTTGGGACTCGCGGCGCCCTGGCTGGCGCGGTCCTGGGGCGGCTCGCGCGCTCTGCAAGACGCAGCGTCGCTAAACGCGCCACTCGACCGCCGGCCGCTCCGCCGCCGCGTGGTCACGCGATGCGTGACGTCACGGTCGGGGACAGGGAGCTGCGGAGCGCTGGCGGGAGTGGAGGGGCTCGCGCTCGGCGCTGGTGTTGCGCGGACGGCGCTGAGGCCTCCAGAAGCGCGACGGCTGACACCGGACAGCTCCACGCTTCGCTTCGCGGTGACTTCCGGGAGAGGACGGCAGCCCACGCTGGAAGCCCGCCGGTTCCTCCCACCCTTCGCTTCGCTGGGGACGACACCGGCGGGGCTGAACTCTGACTCGCTCGACCGCACCGCGACTGGACTCAGTTCTTCAAAACTGTCACTCAACACCACGCGCCTTCGCTTCGCTATCGGCTGGCCGGGACGGTCACAGCCAACGTCAGATCGCCTGCTTCGTCGACTGACACCTCCACTGGAGACGCCGCAGCCAGCAGCCGACGGTCTCTGACTCCATTTCATCCCCGTCTGGACGGAAACGCTGTCGATGGCAGCAGTGGACCCGTAGTTTCGCTTCTTCGCGACCTTACCGAGAAGCTCAGGGCTGTCGTTCGGAGCAGGTGGCTTCGCCGCAAGCTCACTGGACGCCTTGCTGTCGGCATTTCTCGTTGACCCGACGCTCTTCGCCGTCGCATTTCCACGGGCGTGAAAGCTGGCACTAGAGACGCGCCTGCTTTCCTTCGCCACGACCTCGCGGGAGTCGCACCAACTGGGACCCGGAGTCGGTGCGCTTTGGTTCGCGGCACTTTCGGGGAGGACTTCGGGCGTGGAACTCAGCACGAACCCGCTTCTTCGCATTGGGCGAATGCCTGCATAGTCAGAACTGGCAGCAGAGACCCGTCTGGCCCCGCTTGTGATGGTTTCTTCGGGAGAATCACCCGTGACCATGGATACTCCTCTGGCTCTCTTTGCGACAGTTTCAACCGGACGATGATAGCTGGCAGAAACTCTCCGATTTCGCTTCGCGGCGGCTTCCACGGGAGGGTCTGGACCGGCAGTAGAGGCCCTTCTGTTTCTCTTCGCAACAGTTCCATGTGGGCAATCACACGTGACACCAGATGTTTTTGCGCTCCTCTTTGCGGTGACTTCAACACCAGGATCGTAGCTGGCAGCGGAGGCTCGTCTGCTACGCTTCGTGACGGCTTCCTTGGGAGTACTGAAGCCGGTACTCGACGTTCTCCTCGTTCTCTTTGCCACGTCATCTGGAGCATCACACGTGACAATGGAGCTCATTCCGCTCCTCTTTGCGACAGCTTCAAGGTCAGGGTCAAAGCTGGCAGTCGAGGCTCGTCTGCTCTTCTTCGCTGCAACTTCCTTGGCGCGATCAAAGCTGGTGCTCGACGACCTCCTGGTTCTCTCTGCGACAGCTACAACAGGAGTACCACGTGTGACATTGGAGATCACTCCATGTCTCTCCGCGACAGCTTCAGTGGCAGTGGACGCTCTTCTGCCTGTCAGCGTGACGGGCTCCCTGGGAGGATCACAGCTGGCGCTAGACGCTTTCCTGGCTCTCTTCGCGACAGCTTCAACGGGGGAAACGCACACGCTGGAGGCCATTCCGCCTCTCCCCGCGACGACTTCAACGCAAGGACCATAACTGATACTGGAGGCCCTTCTTCTCTCCGTGGCGGCTTCGCTGGGAGAATCGTAGCCGACACTTGACGCTCTCTCCGTTCTCTTGGGCACGGCTTCAATCGGAGAATCATGCATGACAACGGAGACCCTCCTGCTTCTCTTTGTGACAGCTTCAGCGGAAGGGTCAGAGCTGGCAGTGGAAGCCCTTCTGCCTCTCTGCGCGAACGTTTCCCTAGTAAGGCCGTAGCTGGCACTCGACGCTCTCCTAGTTCTCCTTGCGACAACTTCCACTGGAGAATCGCTCATGGCAACGGAGACCCTTCCATTTCGCTTTTGGACAGCTTCCACAGAAGGGCCGGGGTTCGCACTGGAGGCTCTTCTGCCTCTCTTCGCGACAACTTCCCTAGGAGGATCGTAACTGACACTCGACGCTCTTCTGGCTCTCTTTGCGACAGCTGCAACAGAAGGGCCGGAGTTGGCACTGGAGGCTCTTCTGCCTCTCTTCGCGACGACTTCCCTAGGAGGATCGTAACTGACACTCGACGCTCTTCTGGCTCTCTTTGCGACAGCTGCAACAGAAGGGCCGGAGTTGGCACTGGAGGCTCTTCTGCCTCTCTTCGCGACAACTTCCCTAGGAGGATCGTAACTGACATTCGACGCTCTTCTGGCTCTCTTTGCGCCAGCTGCAACGGGGGAAGCGCATTCACTGGAGGCCATTTTGCTTCCCCCTGCGACGACTTCGACTGAAGGACCAAAACTGATACTGGAGGCTCTTTTTCTCCTCGTGAGGGCTTCCCTGGGAGAATCGTAACTGATACTCGACGCTCTCCCCGTTCTCTTGGCCACCACTTCGACCGGAGAATCACACAAAACAACGGAGACCCTTCTGCTTCTCTTTGTGGCAGTGGCCACGAAAGGACCAGAACTGGCAGTGGCGGCTCTTCTGCTCGTCTCCATGGTCGCTTCCTTGGGGTGATCGTAAGTGGCGCTCGACGATCTTCTGGTCCTCCTTGCAACGGCTTCAACGGGAGAATCGCATGTGACATTGGACATCACTGCACTTCTCTTTGCGACAGCTTCCGTGGCGATGGAGGCTCTTCTGCCTCTCTTCGTGGCGGCTTCCCTGGGAGGATCGTAGCTGGCACTCGACACTCTCCTCGTTCTCCTTGCGACCACTCCGACTGGAGAATCGCTCATGATAATGGAGGTTACTTCGCCTCTCTTGGTGATGGCGTCTTTCACGTGATCGTAACTGACGCTAGACGCTCTCCTGGCTCTCTCTGCGACAGCTCCAACGGGGGAAACACACTCACTGGAGGCCCTTCCGCTTCTCTTCGCGACGACTTCAACAGAAGGACCATAACCGACACTGGAGGCTCTTCTGCTTCTCTTTGTGACCGCTTCCTTAGAAGGATCGTAGCTGACACTTGAAGCTCTCCTGCTTCTTTTCGCGACAACTTCGACGGAACAATCATAGAGGGTAGCTGAGGCCCTTCCACTATTCTTCGCGACGGGTTCAACGGGAAGGTCACGACTGGCGCTGGAGCCTCTTCCCTTTTGCTTGGTGATGGCCTCCGCTGGTGGATCGCAGATGAAACCGGAAAGCCTTCTGCTTCGTCGTACCGTGACGTTCGCAGTTGGCGAGCTCCGATATTCCACCACCGGTTCGTCTTGCGCTGCTGCAGCTTTACCGGCAGCTCCCCGACTGACACCTGCGAGAACACTGCTCACATCCACCGCGACTTCACCAGCGGCGTCACAGCTGACACTGCGCCTGCCTCGCCTCCCGACCACCGCGCTGGGATCGCCAAGACTGACACTGGAGGCCCGCCTGCCCCTCCTCGCCGTGAGCTCGCCGGGACCGCCACCGTCGGCACCAGGCCGGCCGCTTCCCCGCGGCCTCGTCCCGACATCGGGTCCGCAGCTGGCGCTGGACAGCCTCCGGCTCCTCCGGACGGTCACGTTACCCGCGGCGAACCCGTCCATGCCCGACCGGACGCCATCGATGGCGTCACAGTGCGCGTCCGAGGCCGGCACGCTGTCCGCCTCCACGGCGGTAACGTCACGGATGACGTCACAGCCGGCGTCTGAGGCCGGTACCCTGTCCGCTTCGACGGCGGTAACGTCACGGATGACGTCACAGCCGGCGTCTGAGGCCGGTATGCTGTCCGCCTCGACGGCGGTTACGTCACGGATGACGTCGCAGCCAGTGTCCGAGGCCGGTATGCCGTCCGCCTCCAGTGCCGCGACGTCACGGATGACGTCACCGCCGCCCACAGCCGTCCGCGCGCTGCCGCCACCGTCGCCGTACGGGTCCTCCGAGGGCTGAGAGCTCGGCACCAGGGGCCAGTCGCCCCTCATATCCGCTGGGTTTCTTCGCTGCCCGGGCGGGCTGCTTGGTACCAGGACGGGACTGTCGAAGGCGACGCCCTGCGGAGCACCGCAGGCCGCCGCGCTATCCGGCGCGGCGTCCACCTGGCCGACTCCATCGACAAGCTCCTCTGAGACTCTCCTGTCAGCCGCCAGGGAGTCGCCGCCTCGTGCGTGCGTCTTTTTCCTCCGTTTGGTGACAAAATCGCGGGGAGAAAGTTCTTCTTCGATCTCGGTCACATCGTCGGCACCAGCGGGGTGTTCCTCAGACCGCGCAGGTACCCCACAGGTTACGTGTTCGTCAGTTCTAGATTCGGAAATGCATCCCTCGGCGTTGGTCCGGGAGGCGTCCAGACTCCAGTCGTGATACTTGAAGTCTGCTTCTTCACTGCCCGCCCGCTCGGAGATGTCTGTGTGGGTGACATTATCGGGAGCATTCGAAGAGCTTCTGCCCTGACAGTCCGCGTGAGTAATCGTTTGGAACAAGCCTCTCTTTGGCACTCCTGCAGTGTCGCACAGATTGCTCCTTTTCTGGGCAGCGTTGTGGGGAACCCTGTCGGCACCAGAAGTATGCGCGATGTTTCTGACCATTATGTCTTGCGACATGCATTCTTGAGTAACCCCTGGGAGAACATCACCATTTTCTATCGCACGTGCCATGTCTCCGTCTTCTCTCCGCAGAACGTCTTCAGCTCCGCTTATATTCAGCGCGCCACTGTCCGCGATCTCTTGTCGCAAGTCGCCACCGGCGATCTCTTGTCGTAAGTCATCATCCAGCGCCCTTTGTAACATCTCTTCACTTTTCGTCCTTTGCAGCGAGCCCTCATCAGTGACGGCTCGCGAGGCGTCACCACCACCATCTTCCTCCTCGCCCTCCTTCCAACCGCCCCTCTGCAACGCGGCTCCGTCCGCCGCGTCTTCCGCTGCGGCCCCCTCCCTGCTGGCGGACGGCACTGCGTCGGCTGCGCCCCTCCCTCCGGCGCACCTCCAGCCGGCCGTCGGCGTGTCGGCCTCGGCGTGCGCCGCCAGCGTCCTGCGCCGGTGCTGGCGGCGCGCCGGCGCGCCAGCGCGCTCCGGCCGGCCGCTGCGCCGGCGGCTCGGCACGATCGTCAGCACGGTGCGCGGCGCGCCGGCCAGCCGATGCAGCTCCTCTTCCTCGTCCTCTCCCTCCTCCTCCGGCGAGGCGAGCGTTATCACGCGGCAAGACCTGCGCGGCCCCGTCGTCGGCGCCGGCGCTGGCGACGGCGTGTCTTCCAGCCAGGAGGGCCGCGAGTGGAGGCCCGCCCCGGCCGGCGCCGCCGCGTCCGGCGAGCCGGCCAGGCGCGGCGAGGCGCCAGCGTCTGTCGGGAGAGGGGAGAGACGCGTCAGGGACGACACGACGTCAGACGCTCAGAGGCCGGGCGGACACGCGCCGGGTGCACGGCCGCCGGTCAATCGTTTGAGGGAAACATCTGGCGACGATGAATGGAACTGCACGCAAGGTATTATGGAGATGATTGAATGTGGAATTGCCGCGATTCAGCAGTTCGAAAGAGCGCTTTTGCAGTAATTTTCGAGATCGCTGAGATTTATGTGTCAAGCACGTTGTCTAAACCTTAACAGCACATGGCATGAAATGGACACACAGAACACTCTAAACTAAAGGTGGCTCACTCACTCGCTCTACCCCCCCCCCCCCCCCTACCCTACAGTGGATGCCCGGCGTAAACACAACCACCGCAGTTCTCACCCTCGCCGAGGCGAGGGACACAGAAACATGGGAACGTGAGGAAAGAGGACCCGGGTAAGATGGTGATTTCCAAGACGATGAGAACGTTCAGACCGTACTACGGTTTTAACAAGACAAACCAAACGCAAATAGACGACAGAACAAGCTGAAAACTAAGGGAAGAAATTACCACAAGCGCGCGGAAAACGACGGAGACGGACCAGAAGGCAGCTCGAAATACAGGACGATAAACGAAAGGTGAATGAGAGCCCACGGGACAATGAGGACCACTGCCAACAGTAAGACCGACGACAGAAACGTCCAATTAACGAGATCCAATGCGTCACTGTGCGCACCAGACAGACGCCGCAACGCTGCCGCCACCGAGCCCTTACCGGGCGGCCTGGCCGGCCGGGCGGGCGGCGCCTCCGGAGCCGGCGAGTCGTCCACCACCACCAGCTGGCGGGCGGCGGGCCAGCTGTCGCGCGGCACACCCACGTAGTCCAGCCACGGGAAGCGTCGGATCAGACGGCAGATCGGCGCTGGCAGCGCCAGCGACCAGTGCGGCAGGCTGCCCAGATCACACGCGATATTAGCAACCAACGGCAATCGCAGCACATCCGTAACAATAGCGGCATGGCTGCAGCGACGATCCACGACTGCTCCAAAAGCCTTACCAGCACGGGGAACTGGGATGGCGGTCCGACGGCGGGAAAGGACTTGGCAACGTCTGGCCGGTTGTGCCAGTGGATATCTTCTGGTCGGAATCGCGCCAGGATCCCAAGACCTGATCCCAAGGCCTTTGACCCGGCATGTGTGACCCCTGTGACCCCAACGTGTCAACAGAATCAAATGATGTCTACTCGTGACCTCCGGACAAGACAGACTTTTCACAGCCTGTTATGTCATGATACCGCAACACCAAAGCACAAGCTAGCCCTTCGAAGCGATCTCAACTGATTGGTGACCCCAGTCGACGCCCGAGTCATCAAGCCTCAGCCTCCCTGGTTGATGACCTGAGCAACGATCAGCCACTGGACTTAGCGATCAGCGACGTCGCCTGCCCCCCCCCCCCCCCCCCCCCCCCCGCGTCCGTGAGATAGCCTCTGCCAGTACAGTGCGCGATCCCCACCTGCGACTGATGACTGCCGTCGCCTGGAACTGCAGCGAGTCGGCCACGGACAGCGCCGTCACCAGGCGCACGCACGTGTTGGCCGCCGTGGTGCAGAACGCCGGCAGCAGGCCTGCCGCCGTCGCCCGGTCGGCTCAGGCCCGAGAACGCCACCCCTGCCGTCAGGACGGTCAGCGGAGGGCGGGAGGAGCGCACCTCACGCGGGAGGGGGACGGGTCATCGCCAGCGGTGTGGCGAACGGACACGGGGCCGCGACGGCGGCTGGGGTGCCCGAGGACACCGTCGGCCACTGACCGAGCCGGACAATCAGAGGCGTGTCAACAGGCGAGCGGTCGTTACCGCGGACGGTCAACACGTCACGAGGGGCGGTCAGCCGATCCGGAGGGCGCTCGACAAGTGGGTGCCATGCCTCAGAGGCCAAGCACGCAACCATTTCTGGATAAAACTGCGATACAAGACACAAGAACGCGCCGTGAAACGAAGCCAGCGTCCGCCAATAACGAACCTTAGCAAATAAGTCGAGCGATTTCTTACCAGGTAACGGTCACCTGACGACGGCGTCACAGCTTCATGGCCGATGAGTGACCCAGTCAGCCATCGACCCATCCAGTGAGCGCCGCGACTCACCCAGTGAGCGCCCCGACTCACCCAGCGAGCGTCGGTTGAGGAAGAACTCGACGGTGCCGGCGCGAAGGTTGGCGTAGACGCCGATGATGGAGCCCTTGCCGAAGAGGCTGGTGTAGGGCTGCGAGCGGCCAGCATGGCGGATCGTACCTGGCGACGCGCAGCGTCAGGACAGCGTCAAGAGAGAGTCAGGGCAGCGTCAGGATAACGTCAGGACAACGCCAGGACAGCGTCAGAACGGCGTCAGGACAGCGTCAGGACAGCATCAGGACGGCGTCAGGACAGCGTCAGGACAGCGTCAAGACAGCATCAGGACGTCAGGACGGCATCAGGACAGTCCGGACAGCGTCAGGACAGCGTCAGGACAGCGCGCACCCTTGGAGTCGACGATCGGGCCGGTCTGAAGCGACGGTGTGAGATGCCGATAGTTAACTGACTGGCGGGTGCCGAGGCCCATAACGGTCCACGTCAGTCGCACATCACGAAGCATCACGGACAACATCGTGACTGCGTATGGCATTGCGCTTCTTGCCACCCGAGCAGCCGAACTCCAAGACTGGCGCCAAATGACGTCACTTTGGTTGAGAATTTACGACGCGCTCAGCTGCTGGGGCTAAACACGCCGTTTGTCTCTCACCCTAGCTGCCCGGCATCGGACGCACACTTAAACCTCAGTCGCCAACAACACAATCCAAATAATCACCAACAACACAGCCCGAGCAATCACCAACGACACAATCCGAACAATCACCAACAACACGACCCGAACAATCACCAACAACACGACCCGAACAATCACCAACAACACGACCCAAACAATCACCAGCAACACAACCCAAATACCACAAACTTCATGGAGTGCGAACGAGCAGTAGGTAAAGTATAAGCGACACACGACGCATTTTCTATTCCCGATGCAATCACGTCAGAACAGTTGACCGGGTCTGTGATTAAGACGTGCGTCAGCGAGCAGCGCGTAACCCGCACAGCCGTGCAGACAGTGTACCGGGCGCTGCGGCCTCACCATGGAAGGAGAGGCCCCATGAGTGGGAGTCGGCGCCCAGGAGGCTCACGAATCGCTGGTTGGCCGAGTCCGGATCAAACTGGTCCGTCACCAGACCCACCATCTGCGGGCGGCACACCGTTAGCTCCCGGTCCCCGTCTGGTCGGCTGTCTGCGGCCTCTGCGGGTCAGTACACGTGCTGGTTGCGGCAGCGGGGCGTGCATATACAGAACGTGAGAATATGGTGGCAAGGCAGGTGCAGGGTTGGCAGAGCACAGCCACACATTTCGATAACCTATTTATACATTAGGTAGGGAAGAAATCAAGCGCTAAAATTTTGCGAGTTAAAAAACATTCACTATGACAGCTCATACAGCTGAACTACCATGACCGTGCTTAAATCATTATGGCTCATGCTGCAGTTAAACACACAAAATAGCAATCAAACAGCCAGTAATGACTCCAACCACATCACATGCACTAGCTATGGCATACGTCACAAAGCAGAGCGACCCACCAACCGACTGCTAAAGCGGGAGACCGGCCGCACCGCTGGTTGGGCAGCCGTGGCCGCGCGCCCGCGACCCACCGTGTCCGTGCCGTACAGGTCGGTCAGCAGCTTGACCTCGAAGAAGTGGTGTCCGCCGGGCTCGAGGATGGTGTCGCCCAGCAGCACAGCCGTACCCGTGGAGAGCGTCTCGTGGCAGGCCACGTGCGTCGGCAGGAAGCGAGCCGAAGCTGGCGCCCGCGCCTGGTCCCACTGCCATGCCAGCGGCTCTGGGAGCGAGAGAGAGGGGTCAGGGTGTAGTCAAAGGCCAGTCCCACTGCCATGCCAGCGGCTCTGGGCATGAGGGAGGGGTCAGGGTGTCGTCAGAGGTCAGTCCCACTGCCACACCAGCGGCTCCGGGCACGAGAGAGAGGGATCAGGGTGTAACCAGAAGCCAGTCCCACTGTCATGCCAGCGGCTCTGGGCACGACAGAGAGGGGTCAGGGTGTAGTCAGAGGCCAGCCCCACTGCCATGCCAGCAGCTCTGGGCATGAGAGAAGGGGGTCAGGATGGAGATGGAGGCCAGTCCCACTGCCACACCAGCAGCTCTGAGCATGAGAGAGTGGGGTCAGGGTGTAGTCAGAGGCCAGTCCCACTGCCACGCCAGCAGCTCTGGGCCTGAGAGAGAGGGGCCAGGGTGTAGTCAAAGGCCAGTCCCACTGCCATGCCAGCAGCTCTGGGCCTGAGAGAGAGGGGCCAGGGTGTAGTCAAAGGCCAGTCCCACTGCCATGCCAGCAGCTCTGGGCATGAGAGAAGGGGGTCAGGATGGAGATGGAGGCCAGTCCCACTGCCACACCAGCAGCTCCGGGCATGAGAGAGAGGAGTCAGGGTGTGGTCAAAGGCCAGCCCCACTGCCACGCCAGCAGCTCTGGGCCTGAGAGAGAGGGGCCAGGGTGTAGTCAAAGGCCAGTCCCACTGCCGCGCCAGCAGCTCCGGGCATGAGAGACAGGTTAGGGTGTGGTCAAAGGCCAGCCCCATTGCCACACCAGCAGCTCTGGGCACGAGGGAGAGGGGTCAGGGTGTAGTCAGAGGCCAGTCCCACTGCCATGCCAGCAGCTCTGGGCACAAGAGAGGGGTCAGGGTGTAGTCAAAGGCCAGTCCCACTGCCACACCAGCAGCTCCGGGCATGAGAGAGAGGTTAGGGTGTGGTCAAAGGCCAGCCCCACTGCCACACCAGCAGCTCTAGGCACGAGGGAGAGGGGTCAGGGTGTAGTCAAAGGCCAGTCCCACTGCCACGCCAGCGGCTCCGGGCACGAGGGGAGAGGGGTCAGGGTGTAGTCAAAGGCCAGCCCCACTGCCATGCCAGCAGCTCTGGGCATGAGAGAGGGGTCAGGGTGTAGTCAGAGGCCAGCCTCACTGCCATGCCAGCAGCTCTGGGCATGAGAGAGAGGGGTCAGGGTGTAGTCAAAGGCCAGTCCCACTGCCATGCCAGCAGCTCTGGGCACGAGGGAGAGGGGTCAGGGTGTAGTCAAAGGCCAGCCCCACTGCCACGCCAGCAGCTCTGGGCACGAGAGAGGGGGGTCAGGGTGTAGTCAAAGGCCAGTCCCACTGCCACGCCAGCGGCTCCGGGCACGAGGGGAGAGGGGTCAGGGTGTAGTCAAAGGCCAGCCCCACTGCCATGCCAGCAGCTCTGGGCATGAGAGAGGGGTCAGGGTGTAGTCAGAGGCCAGCCTCACTGCCATGCCAGCAGCTCTGGGCATGAGAGAGAGGGGTCAGGGTGTAGTCAAAGGCCAGTCCCACTGCCACACCAGCAGCTCTGGGCACGAGGGAGAGGGGTCAGGGCGTAGTCAAAGGCCAGCCCCACTGCCACGCCAGCAGCTCTGGGCACAAGAGAGGGGGTCAGGGTGTAGTCAAAGGCCAGTCCCACTGCCACACCAGCAGCTCTGGGCATGAGAGAGAGGGGCCAGGGTGTAGTCAGAGGTCAGTCCCACTGCTGCGCCAGCAGCTCTGGGCATGAGAGAGGGGGGGGGGGGGGGGGGGGTTAGGGTGGAGATGGAGGTCAGTCCCACCACCACACCAGCAGCAGTGGGTATGAGAGAGGAGGGTCAAGGTGCAGTTGGTCTGTGGGAATATGCATTTGTGGCACCCAGAATATTTTGGCAGATTCCAAGAGACAGGCATGGTGAACATCAAAGTTTGGGATTTGCTGAGACATCAAATGTCATGCATCAAACCTAGGTGAGAAATTATGACAAGATTCAAGTTGCCTGTAAGATGGCCAGATTACAGACGAACAGCAGCAAAGCCATTTGTGTTTGCTGCATTGTACACCCATGAACAGTGGTGGAAAGGTCCACCCCACAAAAGCACCACAATCTGTCATACATTGGCATGTTGGCTTCTATCATTCACAGTGACCAAGTGCCAATATGGGCTGCACAATGCATTATGCTACAAGATCAAAAAGGCACTACTGTGTCACTGACCATTGCTATTTTCACCACAGTCACAATGGATCTTGTTCCTGCTCTTGGCTGCCTTGCAGTAGTGTTTGTGGAGACAAAAGCTATAGCTGGGCTCCTTCTTCTTTGAAAGGATGCTGGACCTTTTAAAATGTAGCATCATCTGTGGGTCAGAGTAAATTACCTTACCAACATTGGTAAGAGGTGGTGCAAACAAAAGGATATCAGTTTAATAAAGGAAGTACCTGCAGTATTTTTTTGAAAGTTGACATATACTTATGACCATAGTTATTTCCATTCTTGACTGCACTCTGCAGGATGCTTATTATATAGATGTGTGCATGCTTTGTATATGCTTTTCTGGTCAGCTATTGCTATGCAAATGCCTGATGAAATAATTATCCAGACCATTGCTTTCATCTTATGTGTTAGCATGCACACAATATTTCAGACAGCTAATTCTATTGCTGTCATCAAGCATTATTGGACCCTTAATTGGCAATCAAGCATAAAAAGCCTAAGAGAGCACTCAAATTTGTCATTGTGGGTACATTTTACAGATTGCAGATGTCTATGCCAATGACAAGATTGCTGGCAAGTATCAGCCTTCTTTTCTTGTTGGTAATATAATCAGCATCCAAGGGATTGTTTCCAGGAAGAGCAGAAACAGCTTTAAGTAGACTAAACTCTCTGCTGAAATCACTGCTAGTCTGTGGGGTATCTTGGGCAAAACTTAGTGTTGTTGTCAGTGACTTCTGTTACCAGAAAATTATGATGAGAAAATAACTCACAATTTTGAGTGTACCTAGTCATGTGCATAGTTAGAATTATGTCTGATGTCTCAAACCAATGTTTAATGAACCTTACTTCCATGCATTTTAAAACCAACACAATACCATTCATGCATGTCCTGACAAGTAAAAACAATCATTTAAATCCTTTTTTTACATAAAACGGAAGCACTGATGTGTGATGTTTGACATTTGTCATCAGCTGGCTTTAACGTTTTCAGATGCTAAGTGCTCCATTTCAGAATTCGAATATCAGTGACGTCCACCTGAAGAGTACCCAAACTAACTACAATCTTACCTGCGCCTACCTTCGCTACCATTTGCAAGCAGGCTGGAACCCTTCACATATGTTGGATGATGCAGAAAATAGACGACTGAAATTCAGCTGCCGATGCTTCATGCCACAACCAGCAATAGTAATCTCCCTGTCCACCCTAAACAACGACGGGCACCTGTCGCCCAAATGCGCCGCCAAGACGATGTGTCAAAAGACGTTTCAAATACGCCGCAGAAGCGCAGTAGTTGAGGGCTGCTAAAAACATGTGATCAAGGCCGTGAAAACAAAAGACCTGGAAACCGGTTTTGATCCCAATGGCCAGGGATGCAACGAAGGAACTGCGACCGGCAGAGTCGGATCCAGTGCGGCGCAGTGGTGCAGGCAGGGGACACAGGGGACACGTGCCCCCCATTAAGGTCGCGATTTGAATGCTCGAAGGGACCAAAAGGAAGGCTGGTGGTCGCATTCAAGGGCCCCGGTGCGCACAGTTCCGGGGCCTCTGGGGCCTAAGGGCACAAAGGAATGGTCGAATTATTAGTCAGGGGTTCTGAGCTGCGAGGACAGGCCCTCAGATAACAGCTACAGGGATATTTGTGCCAATCACGCACCCCCTGATTCGATATGAGCCTATATGTCGGTTTGGCATCACCAGCACCGCACAGTTGGTTCCGTTTTGGTATGGGCCTTAGAGCCCACTTCCCAATCAGCTACAAAGTCGGGGCCAGTAATTTACATTGGTTGGGACCCCTGTATCTGCCAGGGGCCCACAGCTCTTAACAGTGAGTCCGGTGTTCGTTTTTACCGTGCACATTAATCACTATGGGGCACCCCCGATCGTTCTGGGACCCACCACATTGCTCTTCGGTTCTTCTAGTTTGTTTCGGAGAGCCCGGCACCTTTGTCGGTGCTGATCCTTTGTATGGAGCTCTCCCGACAGGTTGGACCGCTCAGGAGCCGCTCACATTGGTCTCGGGTTTTCTGTTACCTCGGAGAGCCTACGCTGTGTCGCGTTCAGCAACACAAACGGCTGCGATTCCAACTGGTACTAGCGGCCGGTGCGGACGTGCGAATGGGAGGAAGGGTTTGTCCTAAGCTCTAATGACGTCATCCCAGTCCTTATCATGGTATGTCTCTCATCACCTTTAAAGAGAAAAAATGGCGAAGTACATAACAAAATAGGAAGCCCTTGTGTCCACGGCCCGGAACAGCCCGGTTCTGCTGAAGGCTATAAAGAAAATTGTGTCGCACGGTGCCCAGCGCCGCAACGCATTCATAGGGTCGAACCCGATTTATTTTGCCAACTCACAACGCAACGGACAATGTACCAAGCGTTCAGAGTAGTTTTCGGATTACATTGCGCCATAAAGCACGTGAACCTGTTGTCAAGTTATACGAGCGCCGTTCTGATCTGCCCCATTGCGGCTTTTATTACCGTGGTTTCGACAACAGTCCGAGTTACCATCATCCCTGAATAATGCATGCTTTCTTCAGCAGCGTGGGTCAGTCATACTGACTGTTTAGATAGTCCACCGTCCACCCTCTGGATATGTCGTTTGTAACAATCTGTAATCGCGATAAAACATACACAGCTAAATCCCACAGTTCTCGTCAGCGACGCACTGAAATATTGACTGTTTGTGGTGCTGTAATTGTTAATCCTCTCGGAATTCAGGGTAACAACATGACAATTGTATAGGTGAGCTACACAGCTTATGGCTTCGCACTCAACCCGCAGGAACTTACTCCACGGAGCGTTTGAAGGATGCTGTTTTAATGTGAGGCCGTTATCGCCCGCCCGCCGCCTGGCGGCTGGTGCTAGCGGCTTAACTGTAGGAGCCATCGCCACGTGTCAAACAAAGACTGCAACGCCGTGTTTCGGTGCCTGGCGCCTTAAAATTGCGAGCGCTTGTGCTGAATATTGGTAACGGCAGGATGATTGCAGACGGTGAGAGACAAACACACAATTCAAAAATAAAAACCGGCGATTACAAAAGTGCTCAAAAACACTGCAAATGACACGTTACAGCTACGTTATAAGTCAACTGCAAGCTGTCAAGAAAAGTTATTGAAATTTCGCGTAAAACACATTTTTATCGATAGAGCGTTACTGAGCTCACCGTCTCAAGCAGTGCCCCTTCAGGAGTACATTGCATCTACAAACTCACGTGGAGCTCCTGTTAATTTTCTAAGCAAAACTCTACTGATGCAAAACTCTGGGTCGCAGTCAGTCGCAGTCGTACGTTTATATTATCTTTAGTCGCGTTTTCTTTTGTTCCATTCAATTCATGTATCCACACAATCCAGAAAGTGGGATTTTTACAAAATGTGATGGATGGAAACGGAGCAGGGGCTCAACCATGGGGTTCAACCTACGCCCAAAATACGCCCCAAAAATATTCATTCTGGTATGTGGCCCACATGCTTCTCAAAGCTGTGCGGTTGAAGCGGACCAGCTGAAAAGGCAAGAACAAGATTCTAGTGCAAACAATTTGAAGCAGTCCAGTGCTGGCCAGTTTTTTTGCTAGATTATGCAATGGGTCGATAGGGAACAGCGAGCTAACGCATTACCTAGTCCTCGTTCTGTCACAGAGAATTCTGCAAGTTCAGTTAACCTGATTTACTGCGGTATCAGCACATCTTTTAACAAGTCCCAAGGATATGTAATGAACTCTGGTGGTTAGGATTTCCTACAAGGCTTTCAAGTCTGCATCACATTCCCGCACACTGCATTTTAGTCTACGTCATATATCATCGCTAGTGTTTCGAGCACGCAGTGCTAGAAGATCAGAAGCTGTTGTCTATTGTTCATTTCATACCCGTCGATAAACAACAGATCAACGTTCATGCCTCTCATCATTAGGTCTTGTAATGTAGATAATACCCCAAGTATTACTCCATTACATATTCCGCCGAGCTATATATTCTGTATATATATAGAGAGAGAGAGAGAGAGAGAGAGAGAGAGAGGAGAGAGGAGGAGAGAGAGAGAGAGAGAGAGGAGAGATGAGAGAGAGAGAGAGAGAGAGGAGAGAGAGAGAGAGAGGAGAGGAGAGAGAGAGAGAGGAGAGAGGGAGAGAGGGAGAGACAGAGAGAGAGAGAGAGGGGGGCGAGAGGGAGAGAGAGAGAGAGAGAGTTTCATCTTTGTCGCAAATCCGGTCGGGTAAGCTTGGTATCCAACAGGTTTTTCCCACTCCCACTTACATGAAAACCGAGCTGGTGTGGTCAACTTTGATACATATTTTTGGCATTTGGCCGCATTTGAAAGCCCCTTCGTCAATCGGAGGATTCTGTTTGGATAAGGAGGCTCTTCATTGCATCAGAAGGCCTCTTTATGGCACAGGAGGTCCTCTCTTGAGATAGGGAGGCTCTTTTCTGGATTTAGAATCCCTCTGCATTCGTCAGAAGACCTCTGTTTGGGATTTTTAAATACGGTTATGTATTGACATGGACATCGATATGTAATACGAATTTATCAGGGAACGTCTGCCTCTAGAAAGCCTCTGTTCGGAATTTGTAATATTGTTATGTATTTACATGGACAACGATATATGATACAAATTTATCAGGGAACATATCCTTCCTCTTGTAAAAAAACCCAAGAGACCACTCTGGGAGGAGGCCCTCTGTAAAAGTCAGACCCCCTTCACAAGTAAAAATCTCTGGCACCGCCTTTGGGTTGTCCGCAGCTGGAACCCACACCTGGACTCACACGTGGCCCCATGCCTGGCACGAGCCGCAATCAGCAGACGCCATCAGGCTCGGGCGCCGCCGGCTGCGAGCTGCGAGGCACGGAGAGGAGGCGCACATGTCAACAGCGGCCCGGAGAGGAGGCGCACATGCCGACAGCGGCCCGGAGAGGAGGCGCACATGCCAACAGCGGCCCGGAGAGGAGGCGCACATGCCAACAGCGGCCCGGAGAGGAGGCGCACATGCCAACAGCGGCCCGGAGAGGAGGCGCACATGCCAACAGCGGCCCGGAGAGGAGGCGCACATGCCAACAGCGGCCCGGAGAGGAGGCGCACATGCCAACAGCGGGAGACGGGCTCGACTCCCGCTGACATCAAATGAGACTCCCGCCGCCCGGCCCGCCCCCCGCTCCACATCAAAACACGACGGGAATTCGCATCGATCGGGTGCCGGCAGCCAGGGCTTACCGTCGTTGGAGGCACGGCCAGAGGCGGGGGGGGGGGGGGGGGGAGTGCCGTCCCCATTTTGGGAGTTTTGTATTTTATTTGCGTTACTTCCTAATTACGCATTTAAACTTCCTCATTACGCTCGCGCAGCCTGTCCGCCATTTCTTTAGTTGCTTCCGCCCTGTCGGAACCCGAATATGCAGCTGAACGGGATCACGCCACCTACGGGGAAAGACAACAAAAAAATTGTGCCGCCACTTGCTGACTATCAGGGAGCGTAGAGTATGTTAAGCCAATGTTTTCATGCAAAGTTTCCAGTTTATACATATACGAATTACAGACGTTATATGTACACATGCATGTAGATATAGATGCATCTACGACATCTATAATTCGTATATGTATAAGTTCGAAAGGTTGGGTGAAAACATTGAGAACTTAGACGAGTCAAAGATCAGAGCACAAAAAGTCGGTTGTCATGTATCAACGTCTCGGAAGTGATTATTTGGTGTTTCGGAAGAACTTTCAGAAAGGAAGAAGAAAAAGAAGTTCCGGGAAGGAAAATGACTCTCAACACAGCTCACACAGTCGGATGTAAGGCTTTTTAGAATAACAATACACTAGATTATAATAATCGGATGAGACCTTTTACTTTCAATAATTGGATGAGGCACTTCGATTCGTTCTAGTGATTCGGAATGATTACACATGAAACGACAAACGGAAGGTAACAGCCCAGCCCAAAAAAATGCAGCAGTTTTCCATTCCTTTTTAACAGTTTTTACCTCGTCCCTATAACATCGCAGTTACATGCGTGTACCCCTTGAACATCAGTGGATAGCCTACCCTCAAGCATTGTGTTTGGAGATTTTCGACGTTGCTAAGCCCCACTGAAGCCAAACATTGCCAGACCCTTGAGTAATCCGACTTCTCTAAATGGCTTTATGGTTGTTTTATTGGCCCTTAAGTCTGGACCTTATCCGCTGCCACAGCATCACGAATTTTTGTCTGTGAAATAGAATCCACGTGCTTGACGAACGATGTGCCCACACAGATGCCGGTAGAATCAAATGCTAAACATGGGCTCCTGCAGCCACGATTATGCTAATGGAAACGTTTTTGTTTGTTTAGAGGAGACGAGCATAAACACTCGTTCTCGTCAAACAGATGGCCAGCAAATACCTCCATAATAGCTCCAGCCGTCGCCAGCAGTTTCGGCAATCGGCACGGGTGTCTGCAGCAGAGATTCAGATTCTTTTCCCCTGAAGTAGAGAAAAGGTATGTGTGTGTGCATGCGTGTGTGTGTGTGTGTGTGTGTGTGTGTGTGTGTGTGTGTGTGTGTGTGTGTGTGTGTGTGTGTGTGTGTGTGTGTGTGTGTGTGTGTGTGTGTGTGTGTGTGTGTATGTGTGTGTGTGTGTGTATATGTTTGTGGGTGTGGGTGTGGGTGTGGGCGTGGGTGGGTGTACATGTGTGCATGTGTCCATTTGTGTGCTCGTGCGTGTGTGTGGATGGGTGGGTGTGGGTGAATGCGGGTGTGGGCGTGGGTGTGGGTTAATTCGGGTGTGGGCGTGGGTGCGGGTGAATGTGGGCGTGGGCGTGGGTGTGGGTGAATGCGGATGTGGGCGTGGGTATGGGTGAATGTGGGTGTGGGCGTGGGTGTGGGTGAGTGCGGGTGTGGGCGCGGGTGTGGGTGACTGCGGGTGTCGGCGTGGGTGTGGGTGAATGTGGGTGTGGGCGTGAGTGTGGGTGTTGCGTGGGTGTGTCTAGATAGCATTGCAAGTGATTCCCGAATGTGATAAGTATTTGTGATTCTCCAACGTGATTAGTACTTCGTGTTTATCGAATGTGATTTGTAGTTTTCTGGATACCCGATATGACCGGCAACAGACCAAGAGGTCAGATAGGAGGCGAAACCTGAAGCCCAATATTAAACGCCCAAATTGGAAGAAACTCAACTTAAAAGCCTTAACAAGATATGGAATGAATTCGTAAGCATTCATGTTACTCACTTTTGGTCAATTCACGCACCCCGGCTGCACGTTTCTAATAATCACGGTGCTCTACAAGATATCCTTGGCATGAAACACCCGCCAAATTACGCAACGGCGCTTGGTAGAATCGGGACCGAGATGTCCGCGCAGCTGCGCAATCAAGGGACCTTCCACAGCTACACCAGAGCGCGCCGCCCCTCCGAAACACACGGGATGATTAACGAGGTGGTGTTCACCTCGCGCCGCACGTGCAGTGGGTCGGACCGAGCCTGCCCCGCCCGACACCCGACACGCGGCCAGCACCCTGACACGCGCCGCAACCTGACATGTGACACAACGGGGCGGGACGTCCCTGCCGGCCGAGGACGCAGGGGGCGGGTCCGGTGCGCCCTGCCGAGATCAGCGGCTCTCGTCGGCCTCCGCCCAGACCGGAGCGGAGACAGATCGCCGGCCGATGGACAAATCTCGGGGGGGGGGGGGGAAGATAATCTTGACTCGGCCTTTGCCAAAGACTACTAGAACACTGAAACAGCTGAAAGAGAGAGAGGCTGAGCGATAAAATAACTCTGATTAAATTATTTATTAACGGTTTCACTCTTTTCTCACAAGCAAAGTAGTCAATGGGTTATGTTAAATCCTATTGCTGTCTCATATCAATAAATGGTAGTTAAGCTGCTAACGCCTTCGACTACAGTATTGCACACTCTTCGTTTGTTCGGTTGCCGGTGATAAGATGCCGACAGAAAGAAGGGTTAAGAAACGCGTATCTAGACACCGGCGTGGGTCCCATGCAGATGTGCCATCACTATAAAAACCTTCCAGCAATCCTAAAACAGCCCAGATGCATTCGGTCGAAAATAAAACAGGGTCTGTGCAAAAGCAACAACCCGGGTCCTCGGTAACAGGACAAAGCACCATGCCGGATAATCTGAAGATGCACGCTCACCGTTAAACCCGATGTGCTGCTATAAAAGGGATCGAGACCACCAAAACAACGATAATTTGATTCTATGTGGAGGAATCTGTGGTGTCACCTCCTGATACATGCATCATTTGTATTTTTCTGTATCATCTGTATCCGTATTTCTTGACCAGGCGTTTACTCTGGCTTTACCGTGGGCCTGTGACAGAGGGGTGGCATGTAGTGTTCCATGGCATGGAAATATTACCACGAGTGCCTGAGTGGTAATATTTGGAATAGGGTAATATGGAAGTGGTAAATAATGGAAGTGGTAGAAGTGGTAATAATGGAGCCAACAACACACGGTTTAAAATGACGCTTCTCGGTTCCCTCTACTAGAATAGACCAAGAAGGATGGACCTGAGCAGTGAGCAGAACTCTCTCAGTCTTATGGAAGCGCACTCCAATCCGGTGTTTATGATTGCGTACTTCCAAATCTGACGACAAACCGTATGGTGCGCTGACATAACTGTATCAGCGTTATTGCGAAAGGAACAGTCTGACAAGGCACAATTAGGAAAACCAAGGCAAAAGCACATCGAGTGGGATTTTCACTATATCCGAGGACGGGCAAGTCTAGTGCTTCCATAGACAATGATGTTTCAGAGAAGGTTATCTGACTTTGAAAGCTCCCGCGACACCTGGTAAATCTGCCACGTTCTCACGAACTTTTCAGGCACTTTATGTGCGTTAGTGCGTTGAACAATTTGTGCTATTGCAAAGCAAAACAGACCCCTGTAAACGGATTTAACAAAATCAGCATTTGAATGGTCTTTGGATTGTACATTAATAACTGAATGGGCAACGTCTACACTTTGACTACCCATTTTTTTTTCTCGCTAGGTGACAAGACCATCCCAGGCGCAGTAAAGTAGGTAACCACTGGGCAAAAGAACCGATAAGTACAGCTAGCGACGAATTGTTCCAGAAGGACCAAGACGTCTCTTTCCCAAAACCGCGAGCGACTGGATTGTTCCCCGCGATGAAAAGGACCGTTCAGAGGTATTCTTCATCTCGTCAAGTTTATCATAGTCGTAGCAAATCCAGCCATACTCAGCGATCTGTCTGTTGCCCGCTCAAAGAGCGTTATCGCTCATTTAGTCTCTAAATCTCAGCCAAAATCTCTGCTCGGACGCGATTATGAATGTCAGGTGGTTGCCACTGCACTCGTGTCCTATTGCTCTTGTTGTTGATTTGTGCTCATTCCTGGTGGTCTACAACATCTAGCCGGTGGTAAATCAAACACTGTTATGTCATTACCACGTGCTGCAAGATGGTCAAAAACGTTACTGCGGCTGCGTGGACCACCGCCGACTATGCAAAAAATCATCTAAAACTGAATACTGGGCTCTTCCACATATGTTGAGCGGCATATTTAGGTCTGTGTTATAGACGTGGTCTCTAAAAAAGAGTGCAAGCCACTTCATCACATTTGGAAACCCCCATGGAGCAAAATGCTACACTTTAACCACAAATATCCTCCAAAGGTTACATAATTGGGCTCCTAGAGAGTTGGACATAATAAATAATGGTACTCACGGTGTGCCCAACGACGCTTCAAGGTTCACCACAACCCCCAATTTGCCACCCTGCCATCCTCCTCCCGTCCCCCGGCAGGTGCAGAGCCAGCGGCGGGGGGCGGCGGCGGATGGAGACTGCAGCGCCGGGTGGCGCCAGGTGGCTAGCACCAGCCC